CTGGGGTTCTGTCTGCTGTACCCCCGCTCGGCCCGCTGCCGGCCTGGGGTTCTGTCTGCTGTACCCCCGCTCGGCCCGCTGCCGGCCTGGGGTTCTGTCTGCTGTACCCCCACTCAGCCTGCTGCCGGCCTGGGGTCCCGTCCGCCGGCCCCGCTTAGCCTGCTGCTGGTCTGGGGTTCTGGCCACCAGCCCTGCTCAGCCCACTGCCAGTCTGGGGTTCTGTCTGCTGTATCCCTGCTCAGCCCGCTGCTGGTCTGGGGTCCCGTCTGCCGGCCCCGCTCAGCCCGCTGCCGGTCTGGGGTTCTGTCTGCTGTATCCCTGCTCAGCCCGCTGCCGGTCTGGGGTTCTGTCTGCTGTATCCCTGCTCAGCCCGCTGCTGGTCTGCGGTCCCGTCTGCCGGCCCCGCTCAGCCCGCTGCCGGTCTGGGGTTCTGGCCACTGGCCCTGCTCAGCCCACTGCCAGGCCTGATATACCAGCCGCTGGCCCCCGTCAGCTTGCTTCTGTTCTGGGGTTCTGGCTGCTGGCCCCTTGCCAGCTGGGGTCCCAGCCGCCAGCCCCGCTCAGCCTGCTGCCTGCCTGGGAACACTGGAAAACTCAGCAAGGAAAAGCAAGGGCAAGGATCACACTAAACTGATAAGATCTGCATTTTAATTTAATTTTAAATGAAGCTTCTTAAACATTTTAAAAACCTTATTTACTTTACATACAACAATAGTTTAGTTATATAATATAGACTTAAAGAGAGAGAGCCCTTCTAAAAACATTACAGTGTATCACTGGCTCGTGAAAACTTAAATTACAGTGAATAAATGAAGACTCGGCACATGACTTCTGAAAGGTTGCCAGCCCCTGAGCTAGCTCCTCAAATACCATGGCTGCCACTGTACAGCTGCTTCCATGCAGTTTTATGGCTGGAAATATTCTTTATGGTGTGGCCATGGAAAATCCCCTCTGTAATCCCTTGTGAATAGTTCTATTACCTACTCAGGAGGATACACCCCAGTCCCAGCCCACCTCCCTTCCTGTTTCAGGTTGACGGGACAAAGACGCCTTTACCGGCCCAGCTGGGACCTGTGGCCAACATCACCAGGGTGAAAAACATGGTGACTCTGAAAGCAGGTGCCAACGTGGAGATCCAGTTTAACGGCCGCCATGCCTTGTTTGTCCGTGTGGGCCCAGAGTATCGGGAGCAGCTGTGCGGGACGTGTGGGAACTTCAATGGGGATCGCACGGATGATCTAATCCTGCCCAATGGGGAGAGAGCTTCGAACAACGCAGAGTTTGGGAATGCCTGGACCTCTGACATCAGCCCACCAAGGTGTGTTTGTTATCTATTGATCTTCCCTTCTTTGTCAGTGAATGCCTGTCTCCATGGCCACGTGCGTTCTTCTCCCTACACTCTGTTGCTCTCTGTTCAGTATATTGTCATGGCAGCATCCCCCCTTCCATTCCCACCATAGAACACATGCTTTTTCCAATAAATTATTGATCTCTGTTTGTTTGTACTCTACTCATTGTTCTTTTCTCAGAGAGAAAATATCTTTACCTGACCAAGGTGTAAAGCATCCCTATGGAAGCTGAGAAGGTTAAATGTTACCCTGGAAAAGGTCCAGAAAAGGGCAAAGAAAATGATTAGGGCTGTTTTCAAATGAGGGGAGATTGAAAAACAGGGATTGTTCCACTTAGAAAAGAGATGGCTAAAGGGGCATTTGAAAATCATGAATGGTGTGGCAAAAACGAATGGGGGAGTGTTATTTATCCCTTCCCATAACACAAGAACTAGGGCTCACCTGATGAAATTAAGATGTGTCAGGTTTAAAAAAAAAAAAAAGGAACTCCTCTTTCACACAGCACGCAGGGGTTGTTATGAAGGCCAGAAGTATTACTGGACTGGAAAAAGAATTAGATAAATTCTTGGAGGATAAGTCAGTGAGTTAAAGAAGTATGGGCTGGATGAATGGACTATAAGGTGGATAGAAAGCTGGCTAGATTGTTGGGCTCAACGGGTAGTGATCAATGGCTCCATGTCTAGTTGGCAGCTGGTATCAAGCAGAGTGCCCCAGGGGTCGGTCCTGGGGCTCGTTTTATTCAATATCTTCATTAATGATCTGGAGGATGGCGTGGATTGCACCCTCAGCAAGTTCACAGATGACACTAAGCTGGGGGGAGAGGTAGATACGCTGGAGAGTAGGGATAGGATACAGAGGGCCCTAGACAAATTGGAGGATTGGGCCAAAACAAATCTGATGAGGTTCAACAAGGACAAGTGCAGAGTCCTGCACTTAGGACAGAAGAATCCCATGCACCGCTACAGGCTGGGGACTGAAAGGGTAAGCAGCAGTTCTGCAGAAAAGGACCTAGGGGTTACAGTGGATATGAGTCAACAATGTGCCCTTATTGCCAAGAAGGCTAACGGCATATTGGGCTTCATTAGTAGGAGCGTTGCCAGCAGATCGAGGGAAGTGACTATTCCGCTCTGTTCAGCACTGGTGAGGCCACATCTGGAGTATTGCGTCCACTTTTGGGCCCCCCACTACAGAAAGGATGTGAACAAATTAGAGAGAGTCCAACAGGGGGCAATGAAAATGATTAGGGGACTGGGGCACATGAGTTATGAGGAGAGGCTGAGGGAACTGGGATTGTTTAGTCTCCAGAGGAGAAGAGTGAGGGGAGATTTGATAGCAGCCTTCAACTACATGAAGAGGGGTTCCAAGGAGGATGGAGCTCGGCTGTTCTCCATGGTGGCAGATAACAGAATAAGGAGCAATGGTCTCAGTTGCAATGAGGGAGGTCTAGGTTGGATATTAGGAAAAACTATTTCACTAGGAGGGTGGTGAAGCCCTGGAATGGGTTACCTAGGGAGGTGGTGGAATCCCCATCCTTATTGGTTTTTAAGGCCTGGTTTGACAAAGCCCTGGCTGGGATGATTTAGTTGAGATTGGTCCTGCTTTGAGCAGGGGGTTGGACTAGATGATCTCCTGAGGTCTCTTCCAACCCTAATCTTCTATGATTCTATAATAAATCCATCCATGGCTAATAACCAAGATGGTCAGGGATGCAACCCAATGCTCTGGATGTCCCTAAACCTCCAACTGCCAGATGCTGGTACTGGACGACAGGGGATCACTCAATTATTGCCCTGTTCCGTTCACTCCCTCTGAAGTGTCTGGCACCGGCCCCTGTCAGAAAGGATCCTTGACTAGATGGACCGTTGGTCTGACCCAGTATGGCCGTTCTACAGGATGTTATTTGGTGCTCCGGATTATAACTGAGTATCTCACTTACCTTCTGCCATGACTGTCCGCTCCCCTCTTGTGTCAGGCACAGCATTACTCTATAGAAGAATGTTACCCTTGCAAAACTTCAGAGAACAGCATTTATTCCTATTCCCATGTCTTGGCTGCTTATGATGGAGAAGCAAAGGAAAGGTCTCTTGTTTTGCAAGGTTCCCCCTCACTGCAAGAGGACTTCCAATGTCTCTTGCAAGATATCACAGGCTCTCACCAGCTCCCCCTGCAGAGGAATTGCACTTTGTGGCAGAAGCCCCAGTTTCCCTTTAACAGCCCAGTTCAGAAATGAGCCCTATCAGCTGGTTGAAAAGAGCAGGCCTGTGGATCAGGAACAGCTTGTATTAGGGAAACTCCCATAATGACACAGTTCTTCTTTTCCTTCCTCCCCCCACACTGAATCTGCTCCTCCACATCACAGGTGGGAGCTACAGAGAGAGGAACTGATGCAGTAAGACAAGGACCATTGTCAGGAATTGGCCTCTGTGCTTGTGCATGTCCTGACCCTTTAGCAAAATGCCTCTTGATGAACTGCTATGTAACTGTTACCGATGTGACACTTCCAGGTGTAAGAATGATACTGGCTTCACTGAGCCCTGTCCAAAATTGTACGAGGTTGAGCAAGCATGTGGGATCCTAACAAACCGCACCGGACCGTTTGCTGAGTGTCACTGGCACGAGAGCCCAGCCCCTTACTACGAGGCCTGTGTCTACGACCTCTGCCAGTACGGACCGGGCAATCAGATGCTGTGTGCAGCCATCGACTCCTACGAAGAGATGTGTATTATTCACGGTGTGAAGATAGGTAACTGGGGAGGAGCGACTGGCTGTGGTAAGCAATAATGGCCTTTGTTTCTATTCAGCATTAGTTATACTCTGCCTAACATCCTGGAACAGACAAGATCTAGAACGAGCTGCCTACTTTATCCATGCAATGCAGGGTGCAGTCTAACTGGGCCCCCAGTGCCTCTGCCTGAGGTTATGGGGCTGCTAATTTGAATGTCAGGATGGGTTCTGTCTTCACACCCCAACATTATGGGGCTGCAGGACTCCAAACTGCATAACATGGAGCGGTACAAAGAGAAGCTCCACGCAGCGCATGTGCATGCAAATGCACCAATCCCAAAATTCCGCAGCTAAGAGCAGGGGGAAAAGACCTTCCCTGTCCCAAATAAGAATAAATAAATAAGAGTTTTTATACAGTGTGAGCTAAAGAACGGCTCTCTGAGCCCGTGGCGTGGGTTAGCAGCCATTCCTCTGGGGCTGTAGAGGGAGCTGTTATGTCTGGATAGGGCAGAGGCCGGCATTACACATCAGGGAAGTGGGGGACTTGCTGCAAGTGACCAAGAGACATGGGGTGCACTGCCCCAGCATTGGTCTCTGCATCCCAGTGATATAGAAGGGAGAGGCTCCAGGACCTAGGGGTTACAGTGGAAGAGAAGCTGGATATGAGTCAACTGTGTGCCCTTGTTGCCAAGAAGGCCAATGGCATTTTGGGATGTATATGTAGGGGCATTGCCAGCAGATCGAGGGACATGATCGTTCCCCTCTATTCAACATTGGTGTGGCCTCATTTAGAGTACCGTGTCCAGTTTTGGGCCCCACACTACAAGAAGGATGTGGAAAAATTGGAAAGAGTCCAGCGGAGGGCAACAAAAATGATTAGGGGACTGGAACACATGAGTTATGAGGAGAGGCTGAGGGAACTGGGATTGTTTAGCCTGCGGAAGAGAAGAATGAGGGGGAATTTGATAGCTGCTTTCAACTACCTGAAAGGGGGTTCCAAAGAGGATGGCTCTAGACTGTTCTCAGTGGTAGCTGATGACAGAACAAGGAGTAATGGTCTCAAGTTGCAGTGGGGGAGATTTAGGTTGGATATTAGGAAACACTATTTCACTAGGAGGGTGGTGAAACACTGGAATGGGTTACCTAGGGAGGTGGTGGAATCTCCTTCCCTAGATATTTTTAAGGTCAGGCTTGACAAAGCCCTGGCTGGGATGATTTAGTTGGGGATCGGTCCTGCTTTGAGCAGGGGTTTGGACTAGATGACCTCCTGAGGTCCCTTCCAACCCTGATATTCTATGATTCTATGAATATAAGGGTCCTCTATTGGCACAGGGCATTGGCAGCAGAGCTGGCTTGCTCCTTCCCTGCACTCTCTGGGAGACATTCACCCGGATGTGATGGACCAGCCCAAGGCCTAGACCCGTCTTGTGTCCCACCGACGCCTTCAAAATAGGATTTAAGTCAGTGATGCCCAAACTTTTCCTTTTGCGGCTCCTTCTGCTAGTAATGGAATGTGTCTGGGCTCCCACAGCTCGGGAGCAGAGTCGTGGCCAGGCCCGGGGCTGCAGCCGGAGGGGCAGGGGCCAGGAGCTGGTGACCAAGCCACAGCCAAGAGCAAAGCCATGGCTGTGGCTGGGGCAGAGCAGGCTGGGTGGCACACCCTCCCTGCTCCTCTGTGGGGGCTGGCCCGTGCCCCCCCCGGCTGCTGCTCCATACCCCCGTGGGAGGGTGCGCCCTGCAGTTTGGGGATGACTGATTTAAATGCTTGGGCTGACCCCCGCACGGGGGCCAGGTTCACCCAGAGAGGACAGGGGGCAAGGTGTTGGCTGCCTCCCCTTAAAGCATCAGCATTCTGTGTCTCCTACACCAATGACTCCAGCTTTGTAGTCGGAAGGTGGAGATGCAAACCCTGCAGCCACCTGAGCGCCCAGCTCGTGTTCCTGTGTTACAGCGGCTTTTTACACCTAGAAGGTGATTGCCAATATAGGGTTGGAAGTTACCAAACCCTGTGCACTAGGCATTAACCCGAGCAAATGGGACAAGAGTCTTCTGGGCCTTCTGCATTGTCCTCTGGTGACTCTCTTTCCTCTATCCTAGATACCACCTGCCAAGCCAGTAGTTATTATGACTTCTGTGGCCCTGCCTGCCCTGCCACTTGTGCCAACCTTAGTGCACCCCTGCTCTGCACAAAGCCCTGCGTGGCGGGATGCTTCTGCAGGGAAGGCTATGTTCTGGACGCTGGACACTGTGTGCCTGTGAGCCAGTGTGGCTGCATGTTGAAGGGTCAGTATCACCAGCTGGGAGAGGAGGTGATCCTGACAGACACCTGCCGCAGGAAATGCAGCTGCCGGCAACCTGCCCAGCCCATGGAGTGCCAGGATCATGCCTGCGGGGCTCTGGAGATATGCCGCGTTGTTGGTGGCATCCGAGGCTGTTACCCTGTGAAGTTCGGCACCTTATGGGTGTTCGGCCACCCCCACTACACCACGTTTGATGGAGTCATGTTTGATTATCAAGGAGTCTGCAAGTACACCCTGAGCAAGTACTGTGGCCCCCCGGGGAGCCTCCCCAACTTCACCATCCAAGTGGTGAATGAGCCGAAAAGCTCCATTGCGGTGTCCTGGACGCGCCTGGTGGAGCTAGATGTCTACGGGGAGCGTATTGCTATAGCCGGGGGCCAGTACGGCCAGGTGCAGGTAAGGGCATTTCATAGCTCTGAAGAAAGTAACTGCTCGGCACAGAAATGATCAGGTGAGAAAGCAAAAGCCCTGGACAGTCTTGTAGGGGTCACTGTCCCCTTAGATGTGTTTTGGGGGGAATGCAGGATGTTGAGGTGAGTCTTACCTCCCACTGTGATTTTGAGATCCTGTCCAAGTGAAAGTGGGTTAGTGTCCCAAAGCCATTAGAAGGGCAGCAACTTTCATCAAAGCCGTACAGGGCTGTGCAGGTGAACCCTGCATCCACGCTGCACCCTGCCACATCTCCCACGCTGCCATGAACATAGTGCCTCATTGCCACGTTAGCGACAGGCAGACCGTTCATTGACAGCTTGAAAGGTAAAGGCCCAGTGAGGCATCAGTTCTCACTGGCCGCAGATGTGCAGGGACCCAGACACAGATGTGATGTGACACATGTGTGATGTGATGTGGATAAATTGGAAAGAGTCCAGCGAAGGGCAACAAAAATGATTAGGGGTCTGGAACACATGAGTTATGAGGAGAGGCTGAGGGAACTGGGATTGTTTAGTCTGCAGAAGAGAAGAATGAGGGGGGGTTTGATAGCTGCTTTCAACTACCTGAGAGGTGGTTCCAGAGAGGATGGTTCTAGACTATTCTCCGTGGTAGAAGAGGACAGAACAAGGAGTAATGGTCTCAAGTTGCAGTGGGGGAGGTTTAGGTTGGATATTAGGAAAAACTTTTTCACTCGGAGGGTGGTGAAGCACTGGAATGCGTTACCTAGGGAGGTGGTAGAATCTCCTTCCTTAGAAGTTTTTAAGGTCAGGCTTGACAAAGCCCTGGCTGGGATGATTTAATTGGGGATTGGTCCTGCTTTTGAGCAGGGGGTTGGACTAGATGACCTCCTGAGGTCCCTTCCAACCCTGATATTCTATGATTCTATGATTCTATGACACAAGTGTGTGCAGTGACTAAGGATGCCTAGAGATGTGCAGCAAAATAGTAACCCTTGCACTGCCATCAACAGGGTCTCTAAACCGACCCCTCAGGGACCTGGGGCTGCTGCCTAGAGAAAACCAGAGCTTCCCTGTCTGCTGCAGGCAGCTTTGTGCTTTTTCAGGTAATTCCCCAGCCTACAGGTAGAGAAATTCTGAAGGTATGAATGCCAAGCTCAGCACAGTCCCTGCTTGAAAGGCAAACAGTGCAGCCAAACCCAATGTCCCAATCACACTTCGATCCAGGGGCTCAGACCATAGCTCAGCTGTGAAATAGCTGAGAGCCAGAAATGCACAGTGGGGTTTGGCATGACAGTGAATGGCCCATGTCTCGCTTTCCCCCTAGGTGAATGGATCCCTGGTCAATCTGCCCCTGGTCCTTGCATCGGGTAAACTCTACGCCTATTACAGCGGCTCGTCTGCTGTGCTCCAGACCGACTTTGGCCTCTCTGTGTCCTACGACTGGTCCCACTCTGTGTCGGTTTCTGTTTCTGAGATCTACTTTGGGTCACTGTGTGGACTCGGTGGGGATTTCAATGGGAACCAGAGTGATGATTTCCGGACCCCAAACGGTTCTGTGGTCCATGACGCTGTCACCTTTGGCAATAGCTGGAAGGATGCTGATTCCCCTTTTCATTGCACAGCCGTTGGGCTCCCAGCCCCATGTAATGAAGCAGAACAAGCCCAGTACAGATCTCAGAGCTACTGCGGGGTCATCGCAGACACTGCTGGGCCTTTTAAAGAGTGTAACCAGCTGGTTGATGCTCAGATCCATTTGGAGAACTGTGTGAGGGATGTGTGTGTGACTCGGGGCAGCCGGCAGACCCTGTGTGAAGTGCTTCGCAGTTATGCCCAGCAGTGCCAAAGTCGCGGCATTGCCATTGAGCCATGGAGACAGCGGGCTGTGTGCGGTAAGTAGATGATTCCAAATACTAGAAGAATCTTTGTTAGCTGTACCCCCAAAATCTTTCTCCTTTATGTACCTACTTGAGCACTGGGCTGGGCCTTAGTGGTCTGGCCACTCTCTGCTCTTATCTTTCCTCCATTTTTATTCCTGCTTAGGAAGATTCCCTGCCGTGTTTCTCCCGTATTTCTAAACACTCCTTTCTTTCATTCAGAGTTAACTTGCCCCCCGAACAGCCACTATGAGCTCTGTGGACCTTCCTGCCCGGCCTCTTGTGCCCACCCAGCTGTGCCCTCCCGCTGCCGGACTGCGTGTAAAGAAGGGTGCCAGTGTGATCCTGGCTTTGTGCGGAGTGGCACTGACTGTGTGCCTCCAGAGCAGTGCGGCTGCACCCACAATGGCAGATACCACCTGGCAGGGGAAAGCTTCTGGGAAGGAGAAAATTGCCGGAGATTGTGCAGATGTGACGGCTCCTCCCACGCTGTCCAGTGCTCCCGCTCTGCCTGTGCCCCTGGGGAATTCTGTGGCACTCGAAAGGGGGCTTATGGGTGCCATGAGCGAACCAACGGCATCTGCTGGGCGTCTGGTCTGCCCCATTACACTACGTTTGATGGGAAGCGATACGATTTCCAGGGCACCTGCAAATATGTGTTTGCTGAACTGTGTGGGGCATCAAAGTCCTTATCCTTCTTCAGAGTGGAAGTGAAGAACGAAAACCTGCCCCATGTTCCTGTGGCTGTGACCTCGGAGGTGTTTGTCCTTGTGAACAAGACTGAGATCCATCTGCAGAGAGGGCAGCAGGGGACAGTCAAGGTAATTCCATGGGGCTAGTGCTCTCTGGGAAAGCACGGTATCACCATCTGGGGAGATTTAACCAGCACCATCACTCAGAACTTCCTGAAACGGTCACAATTCATGCCATGTCTCCACTAGCAAGCTTAGAGTGACACAGCTGTACCGATGCAGTTGCTGTATGCTGAGAGGAGAGCGCTCGCCCATCGAAATCATGAAACTACCCCCAACCAGCGGCAGGAGCTATGTCGGCACGAGAAGCTCTCCCACCAACATAGCACTGTCCTCACCAGAGCCTGTGTCAGTGTAACTTATGTCAGTCAAGGGGGAGGTTTTTTCACAGCCCTGAGTGAAATAAGTTTTTCGGACATAAGTGGTTGTGTAGACATACTCCATGCCTATCTCTGCCTGAGGGCGAACTGCTGGGGTAACATTTGATCTGAAAAAGCTTAGCTATTTATCCAAACAAGAAGAATGAACCCCCCCCCCCCCGAGAATTTGCCTGTTACCAACAGTTATTTCAGAGTTGATTTGAGCATGTCTAGTGTCAAAGCAGCTGGGCAGAGAAGAGTGAAATTGACCTGGGCACTAGTCGCCATTGAGGAGAATTGTCTTTGAGAGTATGGATGAAGTTAGCTCTTTAGTAGTCTGAAAATGGCCCCTCACCCACATTCAGTCCCCGCGGGATGATTTTGCTCCTTTTATCAATGCCCCAAACCAAGGAAAGCGGTGCTTTACATGGGTCTTAGCTGGATCGCATTCAGAGGAGCGCACTTGCCAAGGTGGAAATGACGGTGCCACCTACTCGGGTGCACATGGAATGGATTGTGCCAGGTCTTCTTCAAGCCACATCATAAAGCAGGGCTCAGGTGGGAAATGAAAGAGGCCAGTGCTCAGTTTGATTCACATCTGGCATATGAATGACTTTCATGGACCCCGCCTGGCACACAAAGGTCAGTACGCTCTGGGAGAGGAAGGCCACATGTGGATACTGTATCTAAGAAGGTTGAATGATGAGAAGCAGTGATTAAAGGCTGCATGAACTGGCATATGCCCGAGGGAGTGTAGTTTGGCTTGCGCATACACCCCGAAGCTTTGCACTCCCTGGCATGGCAGTGCCTTACTGTGCATCCTTCCCTACCCCCGTCGTTTTTATGCAATAGATATTAAAAAGGAAGGGGAAAGATGTCTTCATTATTCGTATGGCTGTGGGCCTAGGAGCCCTAGTCATGTTGTGCTACGTGCTATACAAACACAAAACAAAAAGGTTTCAGAGTAGCAGCCGTGTTAGTCTGTATCCGCAAAAAGAAAAGGAGGACTTGTGGCACCTTAGAGATGAACAAATTTATTAGAGCATAAGCTTTTGTGAGCTACAGCTCACTTCATAGGATGCGTATGCATCTGATGAAGTGAGCTGTAGCTCATGAAAACTTATGCTCTAATAAATTTGTTAGTCTCTAAAGTGCCACAGGTCCTCCTTTTCTTTTTACAAAACAAAAAGACATCCAAGCTTAATTCTCCTACCTACACCCTCCCTGCCCACACCTCCCCCTTCAGATGCTCCAGGGTTGATTCTTACAGAAAATTGTGCTGGGTGTTATCCAGTTTAAATGGCCAATACAACAATACACAGCTACAGGGAGAAGCTGGTTAATAGCTCTGTCCTGAGCAGATTATAGTGGGATTTTCCCTAAACTCCTCACCCATCACAAACTCTGCATGCTACTGTCCTGTTGTTTTACAGCGTGTGAGGGATCCATCCCCGGATTAATCTCTTTGGTGCTGTTTTCTCCCAATCAGATCGCTGGAGTGACGGTGACCCTCCCAGTGAATGTGAAAACACTAGGAGTTGCCATTTATCAGCATGGGCTGTATACAGTACTGCAGACTCCCTTTGGGCTGAGTGTGAGCTACGACCTGGCCCACAGCCTCTTTGTCAGCCTCGCTCCTGAGTACCGAGGTCAGACCTGCGGGCTGTGCGGGAACTTCAATGGTGCCGCTGAGGATGATTTTGTGACGCGTAACGGCTCTCTAGGGAAGGACGCCTTCCACTTCGCTGCAGACTGGAAGTCGGAGGATGTCCCTGGCTGTGACGACGGCTGCTCTGATTCCTGCCCTGGGTGCGAAGAGGAGGAAAGTCTGGTGCAGTCCAAGTCCCGGTGCTGGGTGATCCAGGATCCCAATGGGCCGTTCGCCTCTTGCCACTCCCAGATTGACCCAGGCCCCTATCTGTCTGATTGCATCTTTGACCTGTGTGTGTCAGGAGGGGAGAGCAGTGTCCTGTGCCAGTCCATTCAGACATACGCAGCCGCCTGCCAGAGAGCGAATGTCACCATCTCACCTTGGAGGAGCGAGTCTTTCTGTGGTAAGCAGAGACCAAGTTTGCGTTTGCTTTTTAAATGGAAAGTATCTCATTTGCGACTTGAGATGTCGCCACATTCTGGTGACGCCACCTGCCAGGAGCCATTGGCTCCTAAGAACACAGAGCTGAAGTGTTGTTCCTCAAACATCTGATCCCAGTAGTGAATGCCCAGCTGTCACCAGCTTCACATCAGTGGCCAAATCCCAGCTTAGCTTGAGCTTCCGGCAACAGAATGACCAAATTTAGGTCAGTTTTACCCACCTGCTGCCTGAAAAAAATGGCACCAGGGCTATTTGCCAGGGGAGGAGGAGAGGCAGGAGCCCCCCAGTCCAAGGATACCTGAGTTGAGGAAGAGGAGAAGGAAATAGAGGGAGCGAGAGCGCGAGCGGATGATTTAACTGGGAATTGGTCCTGCTTCGAGCAGGGGGTTGGACTAGATGACCTTCTGGGGTCCCTTCCAACCCTGATATTCTATGATTCCTTTCCAGCATTCTGCAAGGAAGGCTTCACATTTATCAGATGCCAATGTCAGCAGTTGTTACAAAAGGTGGAGCCCACAGACAACACCCTGGTAGGAATCCAAGCTCCCTTTCCCAGCAGGTGGGGGACGGTTTCCTACCAGAGTGTTGCCCTGGTGCCTCGCAGTAGTGGGTGGGGGTAGGATGGGATGCTTCTTTTGTACCTACTAGCTGGTTTAGCCCCCTGGCTGGTAGGTGTCTAGCAAAGCTCTCCTGCCCTGCCCTAGTGGCTTTGCTCACTGGTTTCATCTCCCGGAAACATCCTGAACTGGGCAGGACTGCCAAGACCCTCTAGCCCCTGGTGTGAATTCTGGGCTCCCCAGCTGGGGCCTTTTCATATCTTGTTCTGGAAACTCTTAAGTGCCTCTCCCCAGGATTAACACTGGATCTTTTCTCTTCCTGCTCCTTCCTGTTTGCCAGACCCAGGATGCCCAGCACACAGTCACTACAAGCTCTGCGAGCCCGCCTGCCGGGACTCCTGTGCACGCAGCTTGGTCCAGGCTCACTGCAGCCATCTGTGTGCCGAAGGCTGTTTCTGTACCGACGGGTACCTGCGCAGCGGGGCCAGCTGCGTTCCAGAGAAGGAGTGCGGCTGCGTGCGCAATGGGCTGCATTACCCAGTGAGTTTCCTGGCAGGTGCTTTCCTGGCTCCGGTGTACTGAGGAGACCTTTTGGAAAAAGGGTTTTTTCCATCAGAAAATGCAGTTTTCACTGTTTTTTGTCAAAATCAAAATGTTTTGTGGGAACATGTCGATTTCAAAAAACTGCATTGGCTACTTCATCAGCTGGTTCATTTCATTTTGACATACAGGGACCTATTTCTCTGAATGCCTTCACCTTTATAATATTTATTGTGATAAAGGTATTATGAGGTTCTGACATGATCTAAACAAAATGTTTTTATTGTAGTGAAACAATACAATTTGACATAACCCAAACAAAACATTTTGATGGCTCCAAATCCATTTTTCTGGAATTTTTATTTTGTAGGAAACTTCAGCTTTTAGTTCAGTTCGGAATGAAAACTAAGGTCCAAATGTTGGACTTTCACATGGAACGGAAATCCCGTTTTCCGACCAGCTCTGCTACTGAGCCCTGTGGGAGGTGTCAAATTGACAAGGAAAGCCCCAGAGAAATTTGGATAAACTCTGTGCTAGGCCAACATTACTTCACTCACCTCTGTGGCTGCTTCAGTCACATCACCAGATCTTTTAACCAGGGGATAGAGCCGACATCTGCATGGCCTAAGTGCACCCTTGTAGAGCAAATGGGATTTCATGTGGATGTGCTAATCTACCCATGTACCTGGGCCAGCCAACTCCCATGCACCCCCCTCATGGTTTAGGATCATGCTACAGGCAGCCTGCCTCAGTTTCCCCTCTTAGACTGTTCCAATAAAACTTCCCTTCAGGTTTTTGCTTGGTTGAAAATGCCCCTCCTTGGGGACTAGGTTTATTAATGTAAAAGAACCACAAATAAAAATCAAAATCCCAAACAGAATCCATTGCTAAGTCCACACAATGCAGGGTTTCTCCTCCTCCCTCCAGGCCTTTTACAGCTCTTCCCAGCCCCTCCACCCCCCCAACCACAGCACAGACCCTGCTAGTGAACGCTGCTCCCCAGGGGATCCCAGCCCCCCACTCCTCTGACCCCAGCATGGACCCTGCTTGGTCAGGGTCTCTCCCAGGCTTCCCTGCCAGGACCAACTCCCCTGGTCTTCCTGGTAGGTGCCTTTCCTCCTTCTCTGCAGACTCTCACAGCTCCCTGAGCTTCCCCCTTGGCTGCAGCCATGGCTGCCCTTTCTAGAGAACGACCCAATTCACCCCCGGTGGGCCTCGTTCTGTCGCCAGGGCTGACTAGCCCCAGCCTTTAAGGGGCGAGTCACCTGTCACCTGCAACACCTTCTCGGACTGGGATCAAATCTCTGTCTTACAATTTGGGGTATTTCCCTTCTTTCCACCCATGCTTCCTTCTACAGTTACACTCTGCTGACTGGTTTCTGTCTGTTACCCCTGCAGGTTGGGGACCGGGTCTGGATCTCCGGTTGCCAGGAAAGGTGCAGCTGTGATGGCCATTTAAATTTTCACTGTGTCCCCGCCAGCTGTAACCCCAGCCAGCGGTGTGCTGTGAAGGACGGGAAGTTGGGCTGCCAGAGCCAGCTGACCACCTGCACGGTGACAGGGGACCCTCACTACTTCACCTTCGATGGGGCAGTGGCCCATTTCCAGGGCACATGCGCCTACGAGATCTCACACACCTGCAACTCCTCCCTCGACTTCTCCTTCCGGGTGGTGGCCACAAACAGGCACCGCAGGAATCGCCGGGTCTCCTTCGTCTCCCGGGTGGACGTCTGGCTCGAGAAAGGGGATCAGGACACTCACGTTGTCCTGGGGGACAGCAAGGCTGCTGAGGTGAGGGTGGAGGCATTTGAAAGGGGCTTCCATCAACTCTCTCAAGAGCCGGAGCTCCAGCCCCAGAGAGCCCTCCCTGTCCGACCCCAGCACAGCCCCTGCTAGTGAACGCTGCTCCCCAGGGGATCCCAGCCCCCCCCTGACCCCAGCACAGCCCCTGCTAGTGAACGCGGCTTCCCAGGGGATCCCAGCCCCCCCCCCGACCCCAGCACAGCCCCTGCTAGTGAACGCTGCTCCCCAGGGGATCCCAGCCCCACCCGACCCCAGCACAGCCCCTGCTAGTGAATGTTGCTCCCCAGGGGATCCCAGCCCCCCCCCGACCCCAGCACAGCCCCTGCTAGTGAATGCTGCTCCCCAGGGGATCCCAGCCCCACCCAACCCCAGCACAGCCCCTGCTAGTGAATGTTGCTCCCCAGGGGATCCCAGCCCCTCCCCTGACCCCAGCACAGCCCCTGCTAGTGAACACTGCTCCCCAGGGGATCCCAGGCCCAAGGAGCCCCTCCCCACCTGCTCCATTAGTGAGCGTTGCTCCCCTGGCAGAGCGCGACATGGGTAAATAACTCAATGATCTTATTTAAAGTGGGGAGGTTAACAGCACCTGGGTGGCTGTTCCAAAACCCCGGGGGCTCTGACCTGTCCCCTCAGCACCTGGTGTTTGCAAACTGAATTAGTCATCGGGGTCCCCACTCGCCTGCTAGACGAGGCACCTGTATGTCATTGGGTCACTGCTCTGCCATTGCACCGGTACACTTTGGTCCCTCCTATTCCCTGCCTGTGGCATGGAGCAGTCGAGTCTCCTGCTGGCCTCGTTTGCTCTGTGTTGGTGGGTCGGTGGGCAGCTGCCCAGGAAGATCCAGGACGTCGGATGGGGATCTCATGGTCCCTTCTGGCCTTAAACTGACTCTCTAGGGGTGGCACAATTTGCTCACCTGCTGGCAGGGCTCAGGTCTGCGCTGGATTATAGATTACTGAGGGCTCCCCCAGGCAGCGACACTCGCATGAGAACAGCCATGCTGCAAAACAGCATGCCAGCGCCCGAGCCTCGGCAGGAACGGCGGAAGCACCCTAAAAGTGGGGGGCCACAGGTGCCCGAACCGTGGCCCTGCCCCCTGAGCCACCAGCCCTGCACCATCTCTTCCCCCAAGGGCCTGCTGCTGCACCGCCCTCCTCTTCCCCCCAAGACCCCCTCGCTCGCTCCTCTCCGCCCCTCAACCCTATCGCTCGGCCTCAAGGCCAGTAAAAAGTGGGGGGGGGCATGGCCCCCTGAGCCCCCCCCACACATTCCAGCGCCCCGGTCTGTGGTGCTAAGACTTCTGGGCATGTCCCATGGCCCTTAGTGCTGCAAGAAACTGAGCCGCTCCATGCATTTGTTCCCAGGGCGCTGCAGGAGAGCGTCTGTCCTTCCTGGGCAGGCCTGCGGGGTGTAGGGAAGGCATGGGAGGACTGACGGCACTGAAGTGGCACTCGTCGGCTTCCGGATTTCAGGGGGGCTGTGTTAGCAGCTGGGTCTGTGTGGGGCCAGGACTCCCGTCAGGAGCTAGAACGTGCCTTAGCTCTGCTGGGAAGAGACGGCTCTTGGGGCAGGGGCAGGGGTCCTGGCCTGTCACTGGGCTCAAAGGCGCCCCTACAATATACATAAATATTGAGGAGTGAAATCAGCTTTCGGGGCCTCAACCTAGAACCTGCTGAACGTCTTTCCTTCCAGCCCCCTCCCGCCCTTAAACTCAGCCCTGGTGGCTTGGTGCCCCCAGGGCTGTTACAGGCCAGGGGCTCCCTGATTGCAGAGGGCGAGGTTTTGGCCTCCCCCCAGGGGCTTTGCGCCTGGCAGGTGGTGTCCCCGGCGGTGCTCACTGCACTGAGTCCTCTGCTCTTTCAGGTTAACGGGGAGAGGGTGAGCCTGCCGCACGCCCTGGGCCCTCTGGGCAGTGTGACCAGGATCAGAAACCTGGTGACCATACAGACCCCAGCCAATGTGGAGATCCAGTTCAATGGCCGCCACACTTTGTTCGTCCGCGTGGGCCCGGAGTATCGGGCGCGGCTGTGCGGGATGTGTGGGAATTTCAACGACATCCGCAGGGACGACAAAGTCCTGCCCAGCGGGGAGAGAGCCCGGAGTGACGCAGAGTTCGGGAACGCCTGGAAGTCTGAGCCCAGCCCGGCCAGGTCTGGTATCCTGACGGAGCAGTGGGATCCCTGAGGACGTTGGGTTGCTGTTTACCAGAGAAATTAACCGAGGCTTTCGTGTTGGGACAGATTGTTGTGGGAGTGAAACTGGTGGAATGGGCTGGGAGGCAGAGCTCACAAACGAGGCTCTGGAAATTGGCAGTGGTGGGACAGCTGCTTGGTGACTCCTGTGGGAGATGAGTTTGGGTCTCAGGCCTGTTCCTGGTGGGACGGGCAGATGAATGGAGTGGAGTGAGGTGGGAGAGCTGGCTGAACAGATGAATGGAGCAGGTGGGGGCAGAGAGAGAAGGTGACAAACTGTTAGTCAATTACTCTTTAAAAAGGTTTCAGAGGAACAGCCGTGTTAGTCTGTATTCACAAAAAGAAAAGGAGTACTTGTGGCACCTTAGAGACTAACCAATTTATTTGAGCATGAGCTTTCGTGAGCTATATCACTGATGAAGTGAGCTGTAGCTCACGAAAGCTCATGCTCAAATAAATTGGTTAGTCTCTAAGGTGCCACAAGTACTCCTTTTCTTTTTACTCTTTAAAAACTAATTATTTCCTGTTCACTTCACTGTAGGTTGAGGGCAGGACCTGTATGCGCGTGTCTGGGTGTGCCTATGAATCTGTGTGTGCCTCTGTGTGTGCACGTATGTTGTGACAGGCTCCTCTTTCCCCACCCCTGCCTCTCACCCGAGTCCCATCCCCTCACCTACAGCTGGGCCTCATTTATTCGTGTGCATGAGAAATCACAAGCTGGAGTGGCCCTGGGAGATGCGCTGTAGGTTGGTCCAGTGCATGTTACTGGGAGGCAAAGCTTACTACTGAGCTCAGAAGGTCCCCTGGTAGGAGGCGGGGTTGGGAGGGGCGGGTCAGACACTCATAGAACATCAGGGTTGGAAGGGACCTCAGGAGGTCATCTAGTCCAACCCCCTGCTCAAAGCAGGACCAATCCCCAATTTTTGCCCCAGATCCCTAAATGGCCCCCTCCAGGATTGAGCTTGCAACCCCAGGTTTAGCAGGCCAATGCTCAAACCACTGAGCTATCCCTCTCCCCCACTCCCTAGGTGATACTAGAGAGAGCCAGTCCCTTTGCCCTGCCATGAGTACTGCTAACTTCCCTTTGTTCCAGGTGTTTGGATGACACCGGCTCCCCCGAGCCCTGCAGCGACCCCCTGGAGTTTGAAGAGCTCTGCGGGACCCTGACTAGCCAATCGGGACCGTTTGCCGAGTGCCACTGGCATGTGGACCCTGCCCCATTTTACTCCTCCTGCCTGTACGACATATGCCACTACGGGACGGCCAATGGGATGCTGTGCATGGCCATCGCCTCCTACGAAGAGCTGTGCAGCCTTCAGGGGATACGTGTTGGCGCGTGGAGATCATCTGCGCAGTGCCGTGAGCACCAGTCCCACCTGCCGGCCCAGGGGGAGAGCACTGGGTTGGGGAATTTGGGAGTGTGAGGTGTTGGCAATATTGAGATTGAGCCTGAAATTGTGGAGGAGCCATAAAGCCAATGACCTGATCCCCCGTAGTCATTAAAACCCTTTTTGGGTTTTGTCCTAGTCACATCCCCATTTGGGTATTTACATTCTTCCTCCTCCGTCCTCAAACAAGGATTCTCCTTCCCTTCCAGCCACAAATACTGTGCAGCGTTTCCGTAGGCTGTCACGTAGTGGCTGCACCTCACCCCAGGGGTGGCTGCATTGCAGCACCGCGTGAACAATCCCTGTACAGTATTTGTGTGGCTGCTAAAACAACCGCTGGGTCCCACTCCTGAACTGGCTGCATGTCAGCGCTGACAGAGCCGCGTTGCTCGGTGACTGCTAGCCTGCCTCTGTGCCCCTCCCCAGAAGTGGCCATGTTTCAGCCCCAATGAGCGGTCCCTGGGCTATTAATCTGCTGCCTGCACCCAGCCCAGGGGAGGCTGTATGCCAGCGTGAGCTGTGGGAACTCTGTGTAATTTGCAAAGTGCTTTTTGATGCGTTGAACTGGAAAGGCTCGAGAGACGTAGAGGTTGCCCTTAGAAATACAGGGGGTTGGGCAGATCAGAGAACAGCTGCAGATACAATCAACAGGTCGGCTTTGCTGCTGCTAAACTCTGATTCCCTCTGCAGCTGCGAGTGACCCGTGCCTTGCTCTGGCCTGCGGAGAGAACGAGTGGTGTGGAGAGCAGGCAGGGAGATGGGGCTGTTACTGCTACAGAGCTTCTGAGCCCATCCAAGTGGCTGACTATGGTAAAGAGCAATTTCTGGTCCCTTCCTCTGTCCAGATTTCCGCTGACACTCAAGGCACGGAAATCTATCCATGCTTTCCAGGGGAACCATCGCCGGCCGGGCTATGTCTGCCGCGAATGCCGTGGCTTAGTGAACTGGGGCAGCACTGGGACAGCAGATTTCCCAAGGTTACTTCTCTCATCACACAGTGTGAGGGCAGTGATTTGAGCCGAAGAGCAGGGGGCAAGGAGCTTGGCATGGGGTTGTTCTGGGGAAAGAGTTGGCAACACAGGTGACTCTGGGCTCTGATTCTGGCCCCGGCTCCCCATGTGTCTCCTAAATGTCCTGAGCCTTTGTCATCCCAGGCGGAAAACAGGGTAGAAGGCGAGGCTGCTCGGGGGAGGGGAGGAGGTGGGACCTCCAGATTCAGACTGGGAGCCAGCTGTCTCCCCTTCCAAGCCCCCGTCGTCTGCCCGCTCCCCCTCTGCAGCTGGCTCCCAATCCTGGCCATTAGGGTCTCCCTGCAGTGCCCAGCGCGTGCCTGGCCTCTCAGCCACGGTGGGCGAGTTCTCGGAGATCTCATTGACGTGGGATTCCCAGGCACACGGAGAGTCTCCTCTTGTCCTGTGGGCTCGCAGCTCCGCAGCGCAGCTGGTCTCTGCCTGGCATGCCAGGAACCAGGGCACAGCCCCAGCCATGCCTAGAGAGGCCCCGTGGGACAGTCCCTGCCATGTACCTATTCTCACTTCCTTTCCAGACTACCAGCTGGCCTGCAGTGGCGGTAACAGCTCAGTGTCCCTGTCCCGCTGCCTGCTCTTCTCCGACGGCTTCCCCTCGGAGGCCTTGCACCTGGCCGACCCCAGCTGCACCGGCACCCTCGTCAGGGAGAGACTTGTCTTCTACTTCGACAGCACACAACAGAGCTGCGGGACCACGGTGACGGTGAGGAGGAGGCTGGCGACTGGTCACAGCGCGCGGCCACGGGCACGGCCGCCCGCTCCTACCAGCCTACCCGCCCGCGGCCACGGGCACGCCCGCCCGCCCCGACCCGCCCGCGGCCATGGGCACGGCCGCCTGCCCCGCCCCGTGCGTGGCCACGGGCACGCCCGCCCGCCCCGCCCCGCGCGCGGCCACGGGCACGCCCGCCCGCCCCGCCCCGCCCGCGGCCACGGGCCCGCCCGCCCCGCCCCACGCGTGGCCACGGGCCCGCCCTCCCCGCCCACGGCCACGGGCCTGCCCGCCCCGCCCCGCGGCCACGGGCACACCCGCCCCGCCCCGCGCGCGGCCACGGGCCCGCCCGCCCGCCCGCCCCGCCCCGACCCGTGCGCGGCCACATGTACCAACACATGGCCACGTGCACACCTGTGCACCCCGACCAGCACACAGCCATGTGCACGTGCACCAACATATGACCACGTAACACACCCACATGCGCCTACCAAAACATGGCCACATGAATATGCAGCAGCACACAGCCATGTGCACAAACACGTGGCCACATGTACACCCCCACACGTACCAACCCATGGCCCTGTGCACATCCCCTGCCAACACACTGCCCCCAGCACACATGCACAGTGCCACCGGTGCATAGACACAAACCCAAACACGCTTCCACATATCCAGACCGCCCCCCGCCCCCACAGACTAGCTCTCACACGCACAAACCCCATCCACTGGAACGAGTCATCCCCACACACCGTCCCACACCTGCAGCAGGGCACGCCGACATGGTGTCACACGAGTGCCTGCATGAGGATGCACACCTCCATAGGGTCACACAGCCAAGCACATCTTCAAACACGAGTCGACACGCTGGCCCCCCCGCTCTGGCATGCACCCCCCTCCCCCAGTCCAGTGGGCACTCACCAGGCGGGTAGGAGAGAGAAGGGCGGTGACAAGTGATGTGCGTTCTGTGCAAAAGAGGAGTGTGCCAGGGCCACGGGTGCCCTGTCGTGGCGGGAAGAGTGACGTGGATCCTGGGCATGGAGGGATTCGACTCTCACCACTGCTGCTGCTTCTGTGCCCCCACAGGTCAACGCCACCCACGCCACTTACTCCAACGAGGTGCAGGGCCGGGTGGGCAACGCCTATGGAGGGGTGATCAGCCGGGACAGGCTCCTCTTCTTGCACTTCTCCTGTGCCCAGCCACTGAGCTTCAACCTGTCCGTCCCAATGGCCATCCAGCCCATACAGGAGTGAGTAGGGCCGCAGGAGCCAGCAGGAGACTGGGCGCCCCTCCTCAGTGCCACCTGCTGCTGCTGATTTCGAGAGCCCCCAGCAGCCTTCTCCTTTGGCCCTCAGTGCCCCACCTCACAGCCCACAGCACTGCTTCCACCCTGCGGCTTCGCAGGATTCCTTGCACAGCACCACTTCCCACCACCCCTGGGTCCCACCCCGCTTTGGCTGCACCGGTTCCCACGACCCCTGGGTCCTGCCCCCTTGTGCCAGTTCCTGCAACCCCCTGGGTCCCGCCCCCACTTGCACTGCCCCGGTTCCCACGACTCCTGGGTCCTGCCCCCTTGTGCCAGTTCCTGCAACCCCCTGGGTCCTGACCCCACTTGTGCTGCGCCGGTTCCCATGACCCCTGGGTCCCACCACCTTTGCCAGTTCCTGCAACCCCCTGAGTCCCACCCCTCTAGCGCTGTGCTGGTTCCCATGACCCCTGAATCCACCTATCTTGCACCGCACCATTCCTGTGACCCCTGGGTGCACCTGCCTTGCACTGTGCCATTCCTATGACTCTTGGTCCCACATCCCCTTGAACCACTCTGGTTCACATGCCCCTTTGTTCTCACATCCCCTTGCTCACACTGGTCCTGTGACCTCTGGTTCCCACTTCCCCTAGCACCCTGCTGATTCCCATGTACCCTTGAACCGTGCTGGTTCCTGTGACCCCTTATTCTCCTGCCCCTTTGCACCATGCTGGTTCCTGCCCCCTGTTCCTTGCAGCTCCTGGCACTTCATCAGTTCCCACAACCTCTTAAAGCTGCATTTGCCCACTGGTGCCACTAATGCCCCACCTTGCCGCAGACACGTTACTTTTCTTCTCTAGCCTCCATCGAGTGTTGTCTCTCTCTTCTGTTCTCACCTTCTTCCATAGTGTCGTTAACACAACCCTCCCCTCCGGCCAAGGGAGCTACCTGACCACCATGGTCCTGTACCAAGACCCTCGATACAGCAAACCCTTCACCCAGAGCCCCATCCCACTCACTGTCAACCACAGGGTCTACGTGGATATCAGGGTTTCGGGGTTGGACCCCAGCCACTTTGTGCTGACCTTGTCATCGTGCTGGGCCACTCCGGACCGAGACCCCTCCTCCAGCATCCGATGGGATCTCATCACCAACCAGTGAGCAGCTGGCCCTTCTGCTTCACATCACCTAGCAGAGAGGGGATGTGGGGTGAGGGGTACAGAACAGGGGGTCTGGGTGTCAGGACCCCTGGCTTCTATCCCTGGCTCTGGGAGGGGCGTGAGACCTAGTGGGTTAGAAGGGGGAGCTGGGAGTCCGGACTCCTGGGTTCTATCCCCAGCTCTGGGAGGGGAATGGGGCATGGTGGGTTGGGGTGAGGAGGCTGAAAGTCCCGACTTCTGGGTTCTAACACTACGCTGGGCAGGGAGGAACCTGCAGTAGCCAAGTAGAGCCGGCTAACAGTGTCCAACCTGCTGCTTGCTGTTTAGTGCCATGTCTGGTTGACCCCTGTGCCCTGTCCCTCACCCAGGTGCCCCAGCCTGCGAGATGGCACAGTGACAATCGAGGAGGACGGCGTCTCCACCATCAGCCGCTTCTCCTTCAATGTCTTCGAGTTCATCCCAGACTTAGAGCTGGTGTATCTGCACTGCCGGGTCCGGCTCTGCAGCCCCCAGGCAGCCACATGCACCATGGTGAGTGAGCACGTGGGCAGACGAGCCAGGGGTAATGGGACCCTCCCCCTCCACACCAGGGAGGGGATCTGCTCTGAGACTCCTTGGGAAACCTCCCCAGTGGTGCTAAGCGGCTTGGTGCAGCACAGGGCAGCCCTGGGTGGGCAAGAGACCATGCTCTCAGCCTGGTCCACATGCAGCACCAAGGGACAAACCCAGACCAGGGCCCTGTCCAGATGTGGGGCTGAGTGTGACTGTGGAAACCCCCTTGGTGTAGAGGGGAGCAGCTCCTGCCACCCTTGTGTGGTAGGATGGGGCCTGCAGTGCATCCCTGTGCCTTGTGAGCCGTCCCGTGCAGCACTGTCATGCTGCTGTGCCCCAGCTGTCCCACCCCAGAGGTGGCTGCATCCCAGTGCCAGGCAAGCTGTCCCCAGCAGCGTTGCCATGTGGCTGGGACCCAGCTGCCCCTCCGCAGAGGTGGCTGCATTCCCACATAAACAGGCTGCAAGGTCCTTTGCAGTGCTGTCTGAGCCTCTGTGCCAAGGAGCCTCTTGCTACCCCCGTGCTGGGTGACTCCAGAGAGCCCCCTAGTGCTCAGTGCGGTGACAAGGCTCTGTTCTCCCCCTGCAGCACTGCGCCAGGCCGGGCTCTGCTGTGCAGGGCAGGAAGCCTCCATCGGGGGTCGTGTCCGCTGGCCCTTTCCTGAAGTACGACGAAGCTGCCGACCAAGGTGATTTGCAGCTGGCGCAGGCTCTGGTGCTGCCAGATGCCATCTGGGTTTGACGCTCAGGGTCTCCCTGGGGCTGGGAGCACCCAGCTGAGTGTGCAAGGGACAGCTGCTCAGTGAGTTTACCTGCAGTCCCAGGACACGCCAGTAGAGGGCAGGGGACACGCAGCTTTTCAGCCCCGAGATCAGAGCAGGAGTCTGGGGCGTCTGCCCTGGGGCCAGGAGCCCCCATTTGGCCATGTGTCGGACCAGCCAATTGGCTGGTCTCTGGTGCAGAGAGACCCAAGTGCTGGCACCACAGAGCCGTGCTGAATGGCACCGGCCGAGCTGGGGGGAGCCCAGGGCTGGGATAGCAGGGGCTGCGGGCCGGGAGTGAGGGGCACCGGCCGAGCTGGGGGGAGCCCAGGGCTGGGATAGCAGGGGCTGCGGGCCGGGAGTGAGGGGCACCGGCCGAGCTGGGGGGAGCCCAGGGCTGGGATAGCAGGGGCTGCGGGTCGGGAGTGAGGGGCACCAGCGGTGCTGTTGTGGGGAACCCAGGGCTGGGATAGCAGGGGCTGCGGGTCGGGAGCGAGGGGCACCAGCCGTGCTGTGGGGAACCCAGAGCAGGGATAGCAGGGGCTGCGGGTCGGGAGTGAGGGGCACCAGCCGCGCTGTGGGGAGCCCAGGGCTGGGATAGCAGGGGCTGCGGGCCGGGAGTGAGGGGCACCAGCCGTGTTGTGGGGAACCCAGAGCAGGGATAGCAGGGGCTGCGGGCCGGGAGTGAGGGGCACCAGCCGCGCTGTGGGGAACCCAGAGCAGGGATAGCAGGGGCTGCGGGTCGGGAGCGAGGGGCACCAGCCGTGCTGTTGTGGGGAACCCAGGGCTGGGATAGCAGGGGCTGCGGGCCGGGAGCGAGGGGCACCAGCCGCGCTGTTGTGGGGAGCCCAGGGCTGGGATAGCAGGGGCTGCGGGCCGGGAGTGAGGGGCACCAGCCGTGTTGTGGGGAACCCAGAGCAGGGATAGCAGGGGCTGCGGGTCGGGAGTGAGGGGCACCAGCCGTGCTGTGGGGAACCCAGAGCAGGGATAGCAGGGGCTGCGGGTCGGGAGCGAGGGGCACCAGCCGCGCTGTTGTGGGGAACCCAGGGCTGGGATAGCAGGGGCTGCGGGCCGGGAGCGAGGGGCACCAGCGGTGCTGTTGTGGGGAACCCAGAGCAGGGATAGCAGGGGCTGCGGGTCGGGAGCGAGGGGCACCAGCCGTGCTGTTGTGGGGAACCCAGGGCTGGGATAGCAGGGGCTGCGGGCCGGGAGCAAGGGGCACCAGCCGCCTGTTGTGGGGAGCCCAGGGCTGGGATAGCAGGGGCTGCGGGCCGGGAGTGAGGGGCACCAGCCGTGTTGTGGGGAACCCAGAGCAGGGATAGCAGGGGCTGTGGGCCGGGAGTGAGGGCACCAGCCGTGCTGTGGGGAACCCAGAGCAGGGATAGCAGGGGCTGCGGGTCGGGAGCGAGGGGCACCAGCCGTGCTGTTGTGGGGAACCCAGGGCTGGGATAGCAGGGGCTGCGGGCCGGGAGCGAGGGGCACCAGCCGTGCTGTTGTGGGGAACCCAGGGCTGGGATAGCAGGGGCTGCGGGCCGGGAGCGAGGGGCACCAGCGGTGCTGTTGTGGGGAACCCAGAGCAGGGATAGCAGGGGCTGCGGGTCGGGAGCGAGGGGCACCAGCCGTGCTGTTGTGGGGAACCCAGGGCTGGGATAGCAGGGGCTGCGGGTCGGGAGCGAGGGGCACCAGCGGTGCTGTTGTGGGGAACCCAGAGCAGGGATAGCAGGGGCTGCGGGCCGGGAGTGAGGGGCACCAGCTGCGCTGTTGTGGGGAACCCAGGGCTGGGATAGCAGGGGCTGCGGGTCGGGAGTGAGGGGCACCAGCCGCGCTGTGGGGAGCCCAGGGCTGGGATAGCAGGGGCTGCGGGCCGGGAGCGAGGGGCACCAGCGGTGCTGTTGTGGGGAACCCAGAGCAGGGATAGCAGGGGCTGCGGGTCGGGAGCGAGGGGCACCAGCCGCGCTGTGGGGAACCCAGGGCTGGGATAGCAGGGGCTGCGGGTCGGGAGTGAGGGGCACCAGCCGCGCTGTGGGGAGCCCAGGGCTGGGATAGCAGGGGCTGCGGGTCGGGAGCGAGGGGCACCAGCGGTGCTGTTGTGGGGAACCCAGGGCTGGGATAGCAGGGGCTGCGGGTCGGGAGCGAGGGGCACCAGCCGCGCTGTGGGGAGCCCAGGGCTGGGATAGCAGGGGCTGCGGGCCGGGAGCGAGGGGCACCAGCCGTGCTGTGGGGAACCCAGAGCAGGGATAGCAGGGGCTGCGGGTTGGGAGTGAGGGGCACCAGCCGTGCTGGGTCTCGTTATCGTGCCACCCTCAGGCCAAGCGCCTTATGGGCCTGGCTTTTTCCCCCTCTCTCTGATCCACTCCCCCATCCCTGGTGGCTCAGGCCCTTGCTGGGACCCCAGCCCAGGGGGGAATCTGCCCCTCACAGCGCCCCTCCCCCCCGGTGATGTGAAATGACATCTCTGCCTCTCTCTTTGCAGGTCTGCAGCTGGCCAGCGGGAGCCCTGACTCACCCACCTGCTCCCCACTCCTGCAGCTGCTGCTCAGCACCTCCTGCCTGCTCCTTGCTGGAGCCCCCTGAGCCGGGGCCCAGGGCCAGGCCTGGGCAGAGGGTTCGAGGTGCAAGGCCTCAGGGAGCCCTGGGAGGGCAGGCAGGGGGTGGCCAGGCAGGCAGGCGGCCAGTCAGTGCTCTGGGAAGAGGGGCTGAGCTGGTCCCCTGCCCCCCAGCACCCTCACGGGGACCCAGTGAGGCCACAGCCCTAGCAGGTGAAGGAGGAGCCTGGGAGAACCAAGGGAATCCCAGTGCCCCCAGCCTGCCTGCCCCCGCTACCGTACGGGGTGAATAAAGTGAGTGCGAGACTCTCTGGGCTGTGACTAGTAGCCTGGCTTCACCACAACAGGGGAGGGGGCTGGGAGCCAGGACTCCTGGGTTCGATCTCCAGCTCTGGGAGGGGAGGGGGTCTGATGGTCAGAGTGGGGGGTGGGGCTAGGACCCAGGATTCCTGGGTTCTGATCCAGCTCTGGCTGTGACCTTGGTCAGGTCCTTTCCCCTGGGTGCCTCTCTGCTCCGCTGTGAAATGAGGATGATGAACGGACCCGTCTTTGGTGGGGGAGGCTCCGCGGCTGCCTGTGACTGGCCGTGGGCCCCTCGCCCGCCCTGGGAGCGGGGCTCGGGCTGCCAGTCCCCTTGTGGCAGGGGTGGCCGGGGGCTCCACGACTGGACGTCCCTGCACTGTGTGCCCCAGTGCCCGTAATTAGCTGCCAGGCGCTCCCCAACAAACCCACCTGCCAGCAGCCCCACACGAACAAACCCCTCCCCCAGCAACACAACCCCCCCCCCCGCCAGCAGCCCCACACTAACAAACCCCTCCCCCAGCAACACAACCCCCCCCACCAGCAGCCCCACACTAACAAACCCCTCCCCCAGCAACAACAAACCCGCCCCCGCCAGCAGCCCCACACTAACAAACCCCTCCCCCAGCAACACAACCCCCCCCCGCCAGCAGCCCCACACTAACAAACCCCTCCCCCAGCAACAACAAACCCGCCCCCGCCAGCAGCCCCACACTAACAAACCCCTCCCCCAGCAACACAACCCCCCCCCCCAGCAGCCCCACACTAACAAACCCCTCCCCCAGCAACACAACCCCCCCCGCCCGCAGCCCCACACTAACAAACCCCTCCCCCCAGCAACAAGAAACCCGCCCCCGCCAGCAGCCCCACACTAACAAACCCCTCCCCCAGCAACACAACCCCCCCCCCCAGCAGCCCCACACTAACAAACCCCTCCCCCAGCAACACAACCCCCCCGCCATCAGCCCCACACTAACAAACCCCTCCCCCAGCAACACAACCCCCCCCCGCCAGCAGCCCCACACTAACAAACCCCTCCCCCAGCAACACAACCCCCCCCCAGCCAGCAGCCCCACACTAACAAACCCCTCCCCCAGCAACACAACCCCCCCCGCCAGCAGCCCCACACTAACAAACCCCTCCCCCAGCAACAACAAACTCGCCCCCGCCAGCAGCCCCACACTAACAAACCCCTCCCCCCAGCAACACAAACCCACCTGCCAGCAGCCCCACACTAACAAACCCCCCCCCAGCAACACAACCCCCCCCCGCCAGCAGCCCCACACTAACAAACCCCTCCCCCAGCAACACAACCCCCCCCCCAGCCAGCAGCCCCACACTAACAAACCCCTCCCCCCAGCAACACAACCCCCCCCCGCCAGCAGCCCCACACTAACAAACCCCTCCCCCAGCAACAACAAACTCGCCCCCGCCAGCAGCCCCACACTAACAAACCCCTCCCCCAGCAACACAAACCCACCTGCCAGCAGCCCCACACTAACAAACCCCTCCCCCAGCAACACAACCCCCCCCCCGCCAGCAGCCCCACACTAACAAACCCCTCCCCCAGCAACACAACCCCCCCCCCGCCAGCAGCCCCACACTAACAAACCCCTCCCGCAGCAACACAACCCCCCCCCCCGCCAGCAGCCCCACACTAACAAACCCCTCCCCCAGCAACACAAACCCGCCCCCGCCAGCAGCCCCACACTAACAAACCCCTCCCCCAGCAACACAAACCCACCTGCCAGCAGCCCCACACTAACAAACCCCTCCCCCAGCAACACAACCCCCCCCCGCCAGCAGCCCCACACTAACAAACCCCTCCCCCAGCAACAACAAACCCGCCCCCGCCAGCAGCCCCACACTAACAAACCCCTCCCCCAGCAACACAACCCCCCCCCCCAGCAGCCCCACACTAACAAACCCCTCCCGCAGCAACACAACCCCCCCCGCCAGCAGCCCCACACTAACAAACCCCTCCCCCCAGCAACACAACCCCCCCCGCCAGCAGCCCCACACTAACAAACCCCTCCCCCAGCAACACAACCCCCCCCCGCCAGCAGCCCCACACTAACAAACCCCTCCCCCAGCAACAACAAACCTGCCCCCGCCAGCAGCCCCACACTAACAAACCCCTCCCCCAGCAACACAACCCCCCCCACCAGCAGCCCCACACTAACAAACCCCTCCCCCAGCAACACAACCTCCCCCCGCCAGCAGCCCCACACTAACAAACCCCTCCCCCCAGCAACAACAAACCCGCCCCGCCAGCAGCCCCACACTAACAAACCCCTCCCCCAGCAACACAAACCCGCCCCCGCCAGCAGCCCCACACTAACAAACCCCTCCCCCAGCAACACAAACCCGCCCCCGCCAGCAGCCCCACACTAACAAACCCCTCCCTCAGCAACACAACCCCCCCCCGCCAGCAGCCGCACACTAACAAACCCCTCCCCCAGCAACACAACCCCCCCCCGCCAGCAGCCCCACACTAACAAACCCCTCCCCCAGCAACACAACCCCCCCCCGCCAGCAGCCCCACACTAACAAACCCCTCCCCCAGCAACAACAAACCCGCCCCCGCCAGCAGCCCCACACTAACAAACCCCTCCCCCCAGCAACAACAACCCCCCCCCCGCCAGCAGCCCCACACTAACAAACCCCTCCCCCAACAACACAACCCCCCCCCCCCCCGGCAGCAGCCCCACACTAACAAACCCCTCCCCCCAGCAACACAACCCCCCCCCGCCAGCAGCCCCACACTAACAAACCCCTCCCCCAGCAACACAACCCCCCCCCCCCAGCAGCCCCACACTAACAAACCCCTCCCCCCAGCAACACAACCCCCCCCCCCCCGCCAGCAGCCCCACACTAACAAACCCCTCCCCCAGCAACACAACCCCCCCCCCCCAGCAGCCCCACACTAACAAACCCCTCCCCCAGCAACACAAACCCACCTGCCAGCAGCCCCACACTAACAAACCCCTCCCCCAGCAACACAACCCCCCCCCCCCCCAGCAGCCCCACACTAAAAAACCCCTCCCCCCAGCAACACAACCCCCCCCGCCAGCAGCCCCACACTAACAAACCCCTCCCCCAGCAACACAACCCCCCCCCCCGCCAGCAGCCCCACACTAACAAACCCCTCCCCCAGCAACACAACCCCCCCCCGCCAGCAGCCCCACACTAACAAACCCCTCCCCCAGCAACACAACCCCCCCGCCAGCAGCCCCACACTAACAAACCCCTCCCCCAGCAACAACAAACCTGCCCCCGCCAGCAGCCCCACACTAACAAACCCCTCCCCCAGCAACACAACCCCCCCCACCAGCAGCCCCACACTAACAAACCCCTCCCCCAGCAACACAAACCCGCCCCCGCCAGCAGCCCCACACTAACAAACCCCTCCCCCCAGCAACACAACCCCCCCCCCCCGCCAGCAGCCTCACACTAACAAACCCCTCCCCCAGCAACACAACCCCCCTCCGCCAGCAGCCCCACACTAACAAACCCCCTCCCCCCAGCAACACAAACCCGCCCCCGCCAGCAGCCCCACACTAACAAACCCCTCCCCCAGCAACACAAACCCGCCCCCGCCAGCAGCCCCACACTAACAAACCCCTCCCCCAGCCTCGCCATGTATCGCAGGCCCTACAATAACAAACAGGGCCCGTGTCCCCAGGCTCCCAAAGGACCCACCTGTGCTAAGCCGCCTGCTGAACAGCCGGGGTGTTCGGGAGCCCCCAGCCCCAGGGACACAGGGGCAGGCCTGGCCCTGCTCGAGCTCCCTTTGGCCAGGGAAGGGGAAATAGGCCGGGGCCGGCGTCCGCCCAAGGCCTGTGTGCAGGAGCCGGGCCCGGAGCCCAGCCCAGAGTTCAGGCCGAGGACAGGCAGGGAGGGCACAGCCTGTGCTGGGGCGGGGGCTGTGTCAGGACCAGCGGCCGCGGGAGCCGAGCAGGGGTCGGGGGGAGACTTTCTGGTGCAGCCCCCGGGTCCAGGCTCCGGTGGCAACTGGGGCCTCTGCTGTCCCAGTGCCCTCCGGGACGGGCTTGATGCCCAGACCCCAAGGCAGCCCGTGGGCCCCGCTCGCCAGGGGGTTGTGGCCTTGCCTGCCCCAGCCTGAGCGAGCCCTGGCCAGGATCCCAGCCCCTCCCCACAGCTCCAGCACCACCTGCCCCCCTCGCCCCCCAGCAACCAGGCCGGCTGGGAACTAGGGGACAGTGCTGGGAAAGAACAGCCGCGCTGGTGCCCCTCACTCCCGACCCGCAGCCCCCCACCCACAGAGCCGCGCTGGTGCCCCTCACTCCCGACCCGCAGCCCCCCACCCACAGAGCCGTGCTGGTGCCCCTCACTCCCGACCCGCAGCCCCCCCACCAACCCACAGAGCCGTGCTGGTGCCCCTCACTCCCGACCCGCAGCCCCCCACCCACAGAGCCGCGCTGGTGCCCCTCACTCCCGACCCGCAGCCCCCCACCCACAGAGCCGCGCTGGTGCCCCTCACTCCCGACCCGCAGCCCCCCACCCACAGAGCCGTGCTGGTGCCCCTCACTCCCGACCCGCAGCCCCCCACCAACCCACAGAGCCGTGCTGGTGCCCCTCACTCCCGACCCGCAGCCCCCCACCCACAGAGCCGCGCTGGTGCCCCTCACTTCCGACCCGCAGCCCCCCCACCCACAGAGCCGCGCTGGTGCCCCTCACTCCCGACCCGCAGCCCCCCACAAACCTACAGAGCCGTGCTGGTGCCCCTCACCCCCCCCTCCCCGACCCGCAGCCCCCTACCCACAGAGCCATGCTGGTGCCCCTCACTCCCAACCCACAGCCCCCCACCAACCCACAGAGCCGTGCTGGTGCCCCTCACTCCCGACCCGCAGCCCCCTACCCACAGAGCCATGCTGGTGCCCCTCACTCCCGACCCGCAGCCCCCCACCAACCCACAGAGCCGTGCTGGTGCCCCTCACTCCCGACCCGCAGCCCCCCACCAACCCACAGAGCCGTGCTGGTGCCCCTCACTCCCGACCCGCAGCCCCCACCAACCCACAGAGCCGTGCTGGTGCCCCTCACTGCCGACCCGCAGCCCCCCCACCAACCCACAGAGCCGTGCTGGTGCCCCTCACTCCCGACCCGCAGCCCCCCTACCCACAGAGCCATGCTGGTGCCCCTCACTCCCGACCCGCAGCCCCCCCACCAACCCACAGAGCCGTGCTGGTGCCCCTCACTCCCGACCCGCAGCCCCCCCCACCCACAGAGCCGTGCTGGTGCCCCTCACTCCCGACCCGCAGCCCCCCCACCAACCCACAGAGCCGTGCTGGTGCCCCTCACTCCCGACCCGCAGCCCCCACCAACCCACAGAGCCATGCTGGTGCCCCTCACTCCCGACCCGCAGCCCCCCCACCAACCCACAGAGCTGTGCTGGTGCCCCTCACTCCCGACCCGCAGCCCCCCCACCCACAGAGCCGTGCTGGTGCCCCTCACTCCCGACCCGCAGCCCCCCACCCACAGAGCCGTGCTGGTGCCCCTCACTCCCGACCCGCAGCCCCCCCACCAACCCACAGAGCCGTGCTGGTGCCCCTCACTCCCGACCCGCAGCCCCCCCACCCACAGAGCCGTGCTGGTGCCCCTCACTCCCGACCCGCAGCCCCCCACCAACCCACAGAGCCGTGCTGGTGCCCCTCACTCCCGACCCGCAGCCCCCACCAACCCACAGAGCCATGCTGGTGCCCCTCACTCCCGACCCGCAGCTCCCCCACCAACCCACAGAGCTGTGCTGGTGCCCCTCACTCCCGACCCGCAGCCCCCCCACCCACAGAGCCGTGCTGGTGCCCCTCACTCCCGACCCGCAGCCCCCCACCCACAGAGCCGTGCTCCTGACCTGCAGCACCTCCCCCCGCCCCCAGCTCTGTCAGTGTCCCACAAACCCTGCTATCCCAGCCTTGGGCTTCCCCCATGCCCAGACACAGTGCCCTGCCCTGCCCATGCCCCAGTTCTGACCCTACCCCTCTGCATGGTGGGAGCTGAACACATTTTATAGATGTTAATTCAGGTCAGCTAAGAGGGGAATCATCGGCCCATAGAACAGAAAGGGAAACTGAGGCATGAAGGGGCTAAGATTTGCCCAATATGACATTGAGTCCATGTCTGTGGTGGGAAGAGAACTCACACCCCTCCCCCTCTCTAAGCCACTAGACCCCCACTCTCCTCTCTGAGCTGGGGATAGAACCCAGGAATCCTGGCTCTCAACCCCCCTGCTTTGGACACCACCAGCTCCCCCGTCCCTGTGCAATACCCACATGCCAGGAATGCCACGAGCTGCCCCCAGAGCGGTCACAGGGGGGGTAAAGGGCAGGGGGCAGCGCACTGCCCGGCCATTGAACTCCGGGTGCCCTGGCCTCCCAGCTGGGCCCACGGGTGGGCACTGGGCTCTGAATGGCGGCGCTCAGGGCTGGGCTGGGCTGGGCACCTCCCCTCTGCCATGTCCTGTGCTCAGAGCTGCCTGCACAGCGTCCCCCCAGCGTGACCCGGAGACAGCGGGAGTCACGGGACCCCAAAGTACTGGGGAACTGAGGCATGAGATGGGAGGGTCTCACAGGTCACACAGAACTGAAAGGACAGAACCCAGGAGTCCTGACTCCCAGCCCCCCCCCCACTCGAACCACTAGACCCCACTCCCCTCCATGTGTCCGCCCCCCTCTCGAGACCTAACTGGCTGCCACATCCTGTTGCCAGGGGGTGGCTGGGGCTCAGAGAGCAGAGCCGAAGGAGTGGGTGAGTTGCTCCCACACGATCTGCCCCAGCTCTGCCCTGGAGGGTCCCCTCGAGGGGCGGTGGGGTGAGGGAAGGGAGAGCCGCTCCCCATGAACCAGCCCCGTCACTGTTAACAGGGGACCCACTCCGCAGGGAGCTGGGCAGAGACTCACTGAGCTCAGAGCAAACTCATGGGCCCTGTCCCTGAGCCAGCGCCCCCCAGAGGGGAAAGGCCCCATGCCCCATTTCCCCCTCCTCCACCCCGAGCCAGCCAGTCCCTGCCCTGGGACTGGATCGGAGCCGGCGCCCCCTAGAGGGGAAAGGCCCCGTGCCCCATTTCCCCCTCCTCCACCCCGAGCCAGCCAGTCCCCACCCTGGCCTGTTCTCCTTGGGGCTGCTGGCTCTGTGTGGGGCAGGCGGGTCCCGGGGCAGGGAGGGGCCCCACATTGTTGCCAGGTTTTATCATCGGCTCCCAGAATTTCCTGTGGAGGCAGAACAAAGCCTGGGCCGGACCCTCCCCTCCCCCCCAGGCCTGGCTTTCAATGGAGCCTTGTGTGGCCGCCAGCGCTGGACAATGGGCCTCTGTGCGCGGCTGGGCCGGGGGAGCCCCATGGGGCTGGGGTCAGCGGAAACCAGCGTGTGCCCGGGATGGGGACAGGGCAGCAGCCATGGGAGCCAGGATTCCCCACTGCCCCCCTTCCCCCACAGCCCAGGCCCCTGCTAACCCTGCCCCCCCCAGCTCCGCCTGGTGCCCCCACTGCTGACCCGCAGCCCCCTGCTAGCCCAGCCCTGCCCCTGCCCAGCTCCGCCTGGTGCCCCCACTGCTGACCCACAGCCCCCTGCTAGCCCAGCCCTGCCCCCCCCCAGCTCCGCCTGGTGCCCCCACTGCTGACCCGCAGCCCCCTGCTAGCCCAGCCCTGCCCCTGCCCAGCTCCGCCTGGTGCCCCCACTGCTGACCCGCAGCCCCCCCCCCTCCGCCTAGCCCCAGCCCTGCCCCCCCTCCCCCCCCAGCTCCGCCTGGTGCCCCCACTGCTGACCCGCAGCCCCCTGCTAGCCCAGCCCTGCCCCCGCCCAGCTCTGCCTGGTGCCCCCAGTGCTGACCCGCAGCCCCCTGCTAGCCCAGCCCTGGGCTTCCCCCTCCCCCCGCTCTGCCTGGCACCTCAAGGGAGTGCAGACAGCCAGGCAGATGGCCAGAAGCGGGTCTGAGGGTCCGTGCTGCTCCTGGTTTTACAGTAAGTTGGGGAAAGGAAGCAACTGAGAGGTGAAAGTCAATCCTGGGGTATCCAGGCCCCAAGTGTGGGGGGGGGCGAAGGCCCAGCACAGCTGCTGCCCCCCGCAGCGGGGGTGGTGGTGCCTGGGGCGGGTCTCCTCTGATCTCCCTCCAGGGGGCTGTGGGGAGCTGTCAGGGCAGGACCACCCACCCCAGGCCTCTGCCTTTCACTGTTGAGCGGTTCCCACAGTGCAGAGCCAGGCGGGACAGCCAGGGCTGGCAGTGTGCCCCAAATTCCTGCCCGGGCACCACGCAAGCCCCCTTGTGCTTCCCCAAGGGACTGGCACCAGCCCCACTCCCCCCGCAGCAAAGGCGCCTTGAACAGGCAGCCAAGAGCCGGTGAGGAGGGGCAGAGACTGGCCAGCAGCATCCACTGAATGGCTGCACGGGCAGGGATGGCGTGCCCGGTGCTGAGATGCAGCCACCTCTGCGTGGAGCAGCTGGGGAACAGCTGCAAATAATGCCGCAAAAGTTCAGGGCAGGAAGTGAGGAATCCAGCTGCAGCTGATGGGGATTTGCACAAGCTGCAGTTTAGACGTGACACAAATACACTGCCTGGGACAATCCATCTTCAGTGTCCCCATAGCACAGTGCCCCTTACTGAGCCCCCAAAGCACAGCGCTCATGGCTGAGCCCCCCACCCTGCTCCCTGCAGCACAGCGCCCCTGTCACGGACTCCCAGGCTGTGCCCACTTTTGGCCCGTGCAGTCCCTGGGGAGAAGCCCCTTCAGTGCGACAGCCCTTCTCAGGGGTCCACTCTCTCTCGGGGGTTAAGCTCCTCCGGCCCCTGGGACTGCACCTCTCTGAGCCTTAGCACGCCTGTCTCTCGCCGTGGGCCCCTCAGGGAGTCCCCTCACTCTGGTCCCCTGGGACTACCCACTCCCAGAGGGAATAATGCCCCCTGTTCTCCAGACCGGAGCGACTCTCAGCCAGCGTAACACAGGAGAGTTTATTGAGCATCTGAACCCAGCACAGGAAACTCTCAGGGCCTCAGGCCTGGCTTCCCTCAGCACAGCTCATCTAGGGGTCTCCCCTGCATCCAGGGGGGCTCTGCCTGCTCCCTCTCTCCAGTCCCGAGCCCCCCTGCTTCCCCACTGGGCATCTGATATCACCTGCCCCAAGCCCCACCTCTGTCCATTGTCTTTTCTCCAGGTAAACAGGGTCACCTGGGCCTCCTCTCCTCTCATCCCTCCTTTGTTCCCCTCTGGCTGGAACCGGCTGGTCAGGTCACCGGGGTCCTCTCTCCGCAGCCCATTGTCCTCCCACCGGCCAGAACCGGAACTGGTGACTCCCGAGCTGGGCCTCCCGGTCACCAGTCACTGGGGTGTCCATTCTCCAGGCTGCTCGCTGGCCCTCTGTAACAACAACCCCCCTCCCCCACCACCTCGTTAAACCAGTAACACCCAGGGAAACTGAGTCCCACCCCCTCTGCATGCAAACCATTGAAAACAACAAGAAAAGCCCCTGCTTCATCACAGCCCCCTGCTGAGCCCCCTGCTCCCTGCAGCCCAGCGCCCCCTACTGACCCCCTGCCCTGCTCCCTGCAGCCCAGCGCCCCCTGCTGAGCCCCTGCCCCGCTCCCTGCAGCCCAGCGCCCCCTACTGACCCCCTGCCCTGCTCCCTGCAGCCCAGCGCCCCCTGCTGAGCCCCTGCCCCGCTCCCTGCAGCCCAGCGCCCCCTACTGACCCCCTGCCCTGCTCCCTGCAGCCCAGCGCCCCCTGCTGAGCCCCTGCCCCGCTCCCTGCAGCCCAGCGCCCCCTCTACTGACCCCCTGCCCCGCTCCCTGCAGCCCAGCGCCCCCTGCTGAGCCCCTGCCCCGCTCCCTGCAGCCCAGCGCCCCCTCACCCCTCCCCCTCCCTCACCCCCCCCCCCCCCCCCCCCCCCCCCCCCCCCCCCCCCCCCCCCCCCCCCCCCCCCCCCCCCCCCCCCCCCCCCCCCCCCCCCCCCCCCCCCCCCCCCCCCCGAACCCCCCCCCCCCCCCCCACCCCCCCCCCCCCTACTGAGCCCCTGCCCTGCTCCCTGCAGCCCAGAGCCCCCTGCTGAGCCCCTGCCCCGCTCCCTGCAGCCCAGCGCCCCCTGCTGAGCCCGGGTTCTCCTGCCAGCTGTGGAAGGGGAGTTGGGCTCTCGTGTTTAGAGCCAGGACCTATGAGATCTAACTATGAGGTTCAAGGGTGCTGGAACAATTTTTATCATGGGGGTGCTGAGAGCCATTGAACCAAACTGTAAACCTGTATAATACGGAAACCACTTCAAGACGGGGTGCTGCAGCATCCCCCGCATCCCTAGTTCCACCACCTATGACGAGACCCCAGCTCCCCGCCCTGAACTGGGGAGAGAACCCGGGAGCCTTGGCTCCCAGCTGATGATCCATCCTGCCCACACCAGGTCTCGCTGTTAAAGTGAATGGAGGTCCCCAGTCCTGCTGCTGGCACCCCCATGGCAGGGCTGGAGGTGCCCATCACCGGTTCTTTAACCTTTCCCAGCATCAGCTGCAGCACCAGTGTCACGGAGTGTGGGGGAGTCCAGGCCCTGTACCCCTCTTCCTGGGATTCACTGAGACTCTCAGCCAGCCAGTAAAACGGAAGGTTTATTGGACCACAGGAAAACAGTCTCAAACAGAGCTTGTGGGTACAACCAGGACCCCTCAGTCAAGTTCTTCTGGGGGAGCAGGGAGCTTAGACCCCAGCCCTGGGGTTCCCTGTGTTCCACCACCCAGCCCCAAACTGAAACTAAACCCCCCCAGCAGGTTCCCTTCTGCAGCCTCTGTACAGTTTCCTGGGCAGAGGTGTTACCTCCCCCTCCCGGCTCAGGTGACAGGCTCTCAGGTCTCCCATCCCTAGGGCACATTCCCAGGTCAACGCTCCCCCCTCCCTGCTGCCTCACATCGTCACAACCCGCCCTCCCGCTTTATCTCCAGGGGCCAGGCTGTGCCAGGGCTCTCGCTGCTGGGCAACGTCCGCATCTGGGAACGGCAAATACAGAGCTGGGAGGGAATGTCCTGAACACACAGACAACTAGGACCTGCTCCCGGCCCTGGGCTCCCTGCCGGTGCCCCTCACTCCCGACCTGCAGCCCCTACTGGCCCAGTCCCGCCAGCCCCCTCACTTCTGCCCCAGAGCCCTGACAGCCCCCTCACTCCGGCCCCACAGCCCCACCGACCCAGTCCTGCCTGCCCCTCTCACTCCCACCCCACAGCCCCACCGGCCCAGCCCTGCTGGTGCCCCTCACTCCTGACCCACAGCCCCTGCCGGCCCAGCCTGTCCTGCCTGCACTCCTCACTCTCAACCTGCAGCCATTGCTAGCCCAGGAATCCCTCACTGAATGTTGACTTCTAGCATGCTGCATAATCCTGCAATTCTGTTACCCACAACCACCCAGGAACTCAGGGCCCCCCCAACCCCACTCCCCTCACAGAGGCAGGGCAAGAACCCAGGAGTCCTGACTCCCAGCCTGCCTGCTCTAACCCACCAGAGCCCGCTCCCCTCACAGAGCTGGGGAGAGAACCCAAGAGTCCTGGCTCCCACTCTGACACTTTGCACACTGACACACAAGAGGGGACCACGCAGAGACCTCCAAACTCGTCTCCATGGTGCCCGGCCCCCGAGGGGCTGCCCGATCCCTGCTGAGGTGCCTGGATCAGCTCCTGACTGGCTGAGGTGGAGGATCTAGGCTCAACCCTCCCCCCCTTGGAGCCCAGGCAGCCAGACCTGTCTCCACCTGCCTGGGTGTGGTCTGGACCCTGCCCTACTTAACCAGCTGAGCCAGGAGAGGGCTGAGCTGTACTGTCTGTGCCTAGCTGCTGTTGCTGCTCTGCCCTGGGTAAGTCACCTGGTACTGCCCTTACTGGGCTGGGGGATCCTGGCCCTAGTGTGGAGCTGCTGCCTGTTGCTGGGCTGCTGGGGGCAGATTGTCTGGGTGTGGGGCAGGTTGCCCTGGGAGTGGGTATTGGGGTGAATGTGCTGAGCGCCTGGCTTCTATTCCTGGCTTGGCTGCTGGCATCCCAGGCTGGCCTTGCTCTGTGCCTCAGTTTCCCCATCTGTAAAGTGGGGAGGATAAGGCCAATGGCATTTTGGGATGTATAAGTAGGGGCATTGCCAGCAGATCGAGGGACGTGATCGTTCTCCTCTATTCGACACTGGTGAGGCCTCATCTGGAGTACTGTGTCCAGTTTTGGGCCCCACACTACAAGAAGGATGTGGAAAAATTAGAAAGAGTCCAGCGGAGGGCAACAAAAATGATTAGGGGACTGGAACACATGAGTTTTGAGGAGAGGCTGAGGGAACTGGGATTGTTTAGTCTGCGGAAGAGAAGAATGAGGCGGGATTTGATAGCTGCTTTCAGCTACCTGAAAGGGGGTTCCAAAGAGGATGGCTCTAGACTGTTCTCAGTGGTAGGAGATGACAGAACAAGGAGTAATGGTCTCAAGTTGCAGTGGGGGAGATTTAGGTTGGATATTAGGAAAAACTTTTTCACTAGGAGGGTGGTGAAACACTGGAATGGGTTACCTAGGGAGGTGGTGGAATCTCCTTCCTTAGAAGTTTTTAAGGTCAGGCTTGACAAAGCCCTGGCTGGGATGATTTAGTCGGGGATCGGTCCTGCTTTGAGCAGGGGGTTGGACTAGATGACCTCCTGAGGTCCCTTCCAACCCTGAGATTCTATGATCTGCCCTCTACAAGTTAAAATGCTACAGGAGGGATGCTGGGTTGTGGGGGGTCTGTGCAGTGCTGGGAGGGGAGGGGGGGGCCCTGATCTGTGGGGAGGGGAAGGGGTCTGTGCGGGGCCTGGAGAGGGTGCAGTATTTCCCATTACGTCCTCAAAGATCCTGGGGGCCAGGGCTGCCCCTGCCCCGTGTCAATGGCTGTTCTGGGTGGCCAGCTCAGCACTGAGGTTCTAGAGCTCTGAGGTCCCGGTGGCAGGTGCCTGGCACTGGGGTAGCGATGCCTGGTGCCGGCTGAGGGGGTTGCACTGCAATGTGAAAATGACCCGAGGCAGGCCTGGTTCACTGGGATTGTTACTGGAATTATTAATCCTGCCCCAGCTGGGGACTAAGGGGTTACTGCTCTAGGGGGTTGCCTAGAAACACGATTAGCCTGAGCTGTGCTGCACCCTCAGCCTACCAGCTCCTGCCAGCAATGGGGAGAGAACCCAGGCGTCCTGGCTCCAAGCTCCCCTGGTCTAACCCCTAGACCCCACTCTCCTCCCCAGGCCAGGGAAAGAACCCAGGACTCCCGGCACCCAGCCAGCTCCCTCCCCTCCCCAGGGCAGAGCTGTGGTGGGCTGGACCCTTTGCTGCCCCAGGCGCCTCTGGGGCAGGGCAGAAAGAGGGGACCCTGGGAGATGGGTTTCTATGGGCCACACCCTGGCCTGGCTCCCTGTGCAGCGGGATCAGCCAGCTCTGAGGCCTCAGGCTAGGGAGACGCCCTAACCCTGGAATCCGCCTCCCCCGGGGAATCCTGGCAGCTCCCTGCCGCTCCCACAGCCCCAGCTGGCTCTAGGAGCGGGAGGTAGCTGAGCGCAGCGGCCCCCCTGCCCAGCAGACACAGGCTGAGCTGGAGCGGACAGCTGGTTGACGAAACCAGACAAATCCAGACTAGCCAGGGGATCCCTTTGCTCCTGGGAGAGGAATTCACCTTTGGCACAACGGCCTCAGGGTTGGGGTGGGGCTGGGCTGGGCGGGTTCTCCCTCGCTTGGAGACAGGGCGGCCTACTGGGTAGCTTGGATTGAGTCCTGGTCCTTCTCTGTGCCTCAGTTTCCTCAGTTGTACTGGGAGACCGTGATATCGGCCTGCTCAGAGCCCTACTGATGAGAAGTGCTAGGTGGGGGCTGGGGGCCATCCTGACACCCAGACTGGGCATCTGGGGCTTGAGTCCCTGGGATGTCCTACTGGGGTGACTTGACCGGGGCAGTTCAATGGCTCCAGGTGTCCCAGCCCTGCCTTCGGGAGGCACTCTCCATCTGGGGGCAGAGCTGAACCCTGGCCATGTGATGCTGGTGGGGCAGGGCTCAATCCCAGCCTGGTTCAGGGGTGTCGGACTGTCTCCTGTGTTGGAGTGACCCCTCCCCGGCCCTCCCCTCTGCGCCTTACCCGAATGGTACAGACCTGACCCTGGCTGCAGCTCTGCCAGCAGATATAGCACCCCTAGGAGAGGGGGCAAGGTTAAGGATGACGGGGAGGAGTTAAGGACATTCCAGCTCTGCCAGCTGCTATGACCTCCTTGGGAGAAGGGGGTGGGTTAAGGCTTGGCTGAGGGATGTCATCTCTCTTGTCCTGGAGGGGGCTGGGTGGGTGGCCTAGTCTCTGGGGCAGCAAGGCTAAGGGGCCCTGGGTGCCTGGCTTGGGGGGAGGAGCCTGTTGAGCTGGCTGAGGCCCTCCCACCTTTCCAGAGCTGGGGGAGGAGCTCCCTGTCCCATTGCCAGTCCTAGCCTATCTTCTACCATGTGCCACCCTTTGGACCCCTGCCCTGCTGTGATGGGGGCATGCGTGCCCTGGTGCTGCTCGGGCTTGGCGTTGCCCCCACTCCCCCATCTGAGCACTGGGGAATCGGCCCAAGGGCCACTCAGAGCAGAAGGGGAGGATGCTGACCCAGAGAGGTGCAGCAAGCCAGTGGCACAGCCAGGATGGAACCCAGGTGTCCTGGCTCCCCTCCCACCCTCAGCTCTAACCACTGGACCCCACTCCCCTCCCAGAGCCAGGGATAGAACCCAGGAGTCCTGATCCAGCCCTGGCTATGCTCCCCACCACCCCACATGCTTTGTGGACCGTTTCTGGCCAGTTGCATTGGCCCCTCAGGGAGTCCACTGGCTCTGGGCTCCCGGGGCCTCCACGCCCAGAGGGAGCAAAGCAGCCCCGGTCTCTAGCCTGCAGGGACTCCCAGCCAGCGTAACACAGGAGGGTTTATTGAGCATCTGAACCCAGCAGAGGAAACTCTCAGGGCCTCAGGCCTGGCCTCCCCCAGCAAAGCACATCTAGGTCTCTCCTGCATCCAGGGGGGCTCTGCCTGCTCCCTCGCCAGTCCAGCAGCCCCCTCCTTCCCGCCGAGCATCCTATATCCCCTTCCCCAACAGCTCCTCCCCTGTCCTTTGTCCTCCGTCCCAGGTAAACGGGGCGCTGGGCCCCTCTCTCTTCCGTCCTTTGTTCCCCTCTGGCTGCAACCGGCTGGTCAGGTCACTGGGGTCCTCTCTCCGGACCCCGCAGCCCTTTGTCCTCCCACTGGCCAGAGCCAGCTGCCTGCCAAGCTGGGCTGGGCCTCCTGGTTGCTAGGATACCGCATCTCCAGGCCATTCTCTGGGGGTCCCGGCTGCGAGGTGGGGTCCCAGGCAGGGCTCTGCGCGCTCGGCTGACTGACCTTGCCGGTTACGAACCCACGGCCCAAGCTGGGGAGAGAGCGAGCGCCCTCAACTGACAGAAGAAGCCTTCATGTCTAGGGGGCACCGCTCTGATCCAGCCCCAGGGTGGGGGCTAGCTGGCGGGGGGCAGGAGGCAATGGGGCCTTTTACCGCTAGGGGGCACCACTCTGATCCGGCCCCAGGGTGAGGGGTGGGGGCTGGCTGGCTGGGGAGAGCTGCAGGGGTACGGGGAAATGGGGCCTTTAACTTCTAGGGGGCACCAGCTCTGATCCGGCCCCAGGGCGGGGCTGGCTGGTGGTTTGGGGAGGGGGCGGGAAATGTTGGTTTAACGTTGGGGAGTGAGGTCTGGGGGGGACCCAGGAGTCCTGGTGCTGGCCCCTTCTCAGCTTTAACTGCCCTGCCCCTTTGTGTAGGGACCTGCCCCCCAGACGCGGTTCCAGGATGCAGCCAGTGACCACCGGCCTCCTGCTGCTCTTGGCAGGTGAGAAGCTCCCCACAGTGCCCCCTGCTGGAAGAGGCTGGGGCTGGAGTAGCCAGGAGCTCCCCCTCTGCCAGCTCTCCTGCCCTGCTCCCCACAGCGCCCCCTGCTGGGAGTCCAATGCTATTTTCTCTTTCTGCAGCGTTTCCTGCCCTGAAGGCTGAACACCCTATGGGTGAGTTCACCCTCTGCTCTCCTGCTGCCAGCATGGTCCTGAGCTGCCCTGGGAGGCGGGAGGGAGCAGAGGGGACTCACTGGGGGTAGGGTGGCGGGGGCACTTCAGCCTGGGCTGTCACTCCTCTGATGGGGTGGGAAGGGTAGAGGCCTAAGGAAAATGGAGCAGCTGGGGGAAGGATACCAGCCTGGATTGGTCCAAGGAACCCAGGAGTCCTGACTCCCAGCCCCCACGCCTGCTCTAACCCAGTGGAGACCCCACGCCCCTGCCAGAGCTGGGGGTAGAACCCAGGAGTCCTGGCCTCATGACCCTAACTCTTTCTTTTCTGCCCCATGCCAGATCCAGCAAGCCCCTTCTTTTATGGTAAGTGCTGCTCCTGCCATCTCCCTCCGCTGGCATCTCCCAGGGCAGGACCCCGCCAGCTGAGCCTGGCACAGGGAGGGGCTGGACTAGCCAGGCCAGTCTCCTGCCCTCTCATGGGGAGCTGGGAAGTAGCCTGGGATGGGCTGTGGAGAGCCCGCACTGGACCAAGGGGTGGGGGAGGGAGGGAGGATGGATTGGATGGGGGGAAGAGGGTGGGGGAGTGGAGGGATTTGGGGATCTAGTTGGGGGTTCTGGGTGTGGGAGGATAGGGGAGTCAGGGATGGGAGGGATTCAGGGGATGTGGTGTTGGGCGGGGAGGAATTGGGGGGCAGGGGGATGGAGGGATTTGGGGGATGTGGTGTCAAGTGGAAGGATTTGGGGGGGATTTGGTGGGGATTCAGGGGACATGATGGGTTGGGGGACATGGGGGGATGTGGTGTTGGGCGGGGGGATGGGGGGTTCAGGGAATGTGGTGTTGGGTGAGGGGTTCTGGGGGTGGATCTGGGAGCATGGGGGTGGGGGTATAGCTGAGCTGCCCCTCTGCAGCAGAGGGAGATGATTTAGGGGTCCCCTTAGGCCAGGTTCTTACGGCTCCTCTTCCCCCAGACTGGCACCGCCTGCGGGTCGGGGGGCTGATCGCCGCTGCCATTCTCTGCACCCTGGGGATTGTCGTGCTGCTCAGTGAGTGGGGTGGGGGCAGGGACTGGGGAGGGGGTCTCAGCACCCAGCAGGTGAGGGTTGGCTGGGGGTGTCCCAGGGCCCTAGGAAGGTAGGTGGGGGGGCCTCAGAACTGGGACGGTGTCCCAGTGTCCATGGGGTGATGGGGAGGGGGGTGTCCCTGTGCCCGAGGGGTGTCTCGGCAGCAGGAGGGTGGAGGTGGGGTGGGGATGTTCTGGCACCTGAGGAAATTGGGGGTTGTCTGCACTGAGCATCTGTCACTAGTGGTGGGGGGGGCAGTGATAGGGGGGCAGCTGTTCCTGGGTGGAGGGGATCACTGCTTCTCCCCCACCAGGTTTGTGTCTAACCCTCCCCCCCCCCCTTTTTTTTTCCCTAGGTGGAAAATGCAAATGCAAATTTAACCGCAAAGCCAGGTAGGGGGTGGGGTCTGGGGGGTTCAAGGGGGGGGGGTCATGCTACACTTTGGAAGAGGTGGGGTCATGCTGTGGCTGGGGATGCAGGGGGTTCTGCTGGGGGTGTGTGGTGTGAATTGGGGGAACCAGTGGGGGTGGGGTAGTGAGGAGGGGGCACGGTGTGTGGGTGGAGGGGTCAGGCTGGGGCAGTGGGAGGTCGTGGTGTTGAGGGGGGGGGTAACATTCCAAATGCCCATAACCCCCTCTCTTCCTCCTCAGCCGGCGACCAAATGAGCCCCTGCACCTCATCACTCCTGGTAAGTCCCCCAACCCCTCTCCCTTTCCTGGTTGGCCCAGGGGGGATGCATTGGATTCTGGGGGGTGGGAAGGGGATCTCTAAACTTGTCACCCTGACCCTTGTGGGCCTCCTCCTGCTTCCCTATGTCGCCCCCTACTGGCTGCTGACAGGAGAGACCTCTCAGGCTGCAGAGGGGAGGGGGTCCTATGTGGGGCTAGTGGGTTGCATGTTTTTCCCCACCCCCAGCTCCACAGACTGCTCCCATGGCTCCTTTGTAAGCGGGTCTGTTCCTCTTTTTCCCCCACCGCCATCTCTCCGCAGGCAGCACCAGTAACTGCTGAACCAGGATGGTCCCGGTGCCAGGTCTCGCCCGGGGCGCTGGCTCCTTGCTGGGACATCCCGTCCCCCCACCCTCCCCATCTAGGGAGGGGGAGAAGTTTTTTAACTGAACTTTCCACGCTGTGGAATAAAAGTCTCCTGAGCTTGAAACCCTGAGCAAGTCATGGGTGCCTTTCCCCGCTGTGGGGCACCAGCTTCCATCCGGCCCGGCGGGGGGACAGGACTGGCTGACTTGAGGGGGGGCAGGGAATGGGACAAGGGGCCTTTCCCCTCTAGAGGGCGCCAGCTCCCATCTGAACCCCAGGGCAGGGAGGTAGGACAAGTGGTCTCTCCCCCTCTAGGGGGCGCTGGCTCTGGTGTAGGGAAGGCCCCGGTGGCTATGGGGCAGAAAACCAGCAGGAGAACCCCAGGAAAGCTCCTAGTTCCAGCAGAGTGTGAGGAACCTGCAGCATCCCGTGAAAATGTGTTGAATTGGCTGAACTCTTGATGAAGCCCTGGCTGGGCTGGCCAGAAGCCTGGGGGCCAGGCCCTGCGCTCAGTGCACACCTAACTACTGGCCAAGAAAGGCCCAAGTTGCCCCCAGTTTGTGGGCTGGGCATGGGATGAACCACAGGCATCCTGCCCCTACTCAGCTGCTCTGTGCCAACTCCCGCTTCAAGCTGGGCCCTTGCCAGCTGCTCACACAGGCAGTGCCAAGCAGCCAGCCCTTCTGCCCTCCATGTAACCCTGTGGGCGGGGCACACTGCTGGCCCTGGGGAGCCCTGGGTCCAATCCCACTGTGCCGCAGGGGAAGACAGGGTTGGGAGAGGGGTTTCCAGCTCTCAAAGGCTCTCCTCCCTGCCCCCTAGCGTCCTTTTCTTGCAGCCCTGGCTAGCTTGCCTGGGTCCTGCTAGACAGGGTGCCACGGCTGGCCACCAGCGCTCTTGGGAGCCTAGCTCCCTACGCCCCACAGCAGCCAGGGCTCTGGGCTCCTAAACCCAGGCTGCCTGGGTTAAACTGCCCTTGCCCTGCCATCACAGCTTCCCTCTCAGTTGAGCCAGGCCTGCCCGGGGGTAGTTGGGCAACACCTGTGCCCATCCTTTCTCCCTGGCCGCAGGGAACCTGCTCTCCCCTGGCCCAGCTGCCTGCTGTAGCCACAGGGCTGAAGGGGGAGGAGCCAGGCCGTGTCCTTAGCCATATTCCAGTGCAGCATTAGGCCGGCATGGCTGGGCTTCCAGCCCGAGTCCTGGCAGGGGGGACTGCCGCCAGAGCCACTGGGCCAAGGGGAATGTTCTGGAACTGTAGGGAGCCTGTGTGACTCAGTTTCTCTCTCTACTTTGCATTGTTACCTCAGGGGTGCGAAACAGTTAACGCTGTGCCAGGAGCCAGGAACCCGCGGTCTGTGCCCCAAAGCTGGGGGATGGGGACCTGAATGGGACTAGCTGAAACCTGCCCTCTCAAGGGTGGAGTCAGAAGGCCCATGGGAGCCTGAGGGGGCCATCAAGCACCCTCCCCCCAACGCACACACAGGGGAAGGTGATTTTGCCCCCCACCTCTCAGCAAGGGGAGCAGTGCCAGCGAACAAAGGGGGGAGGAGGATTAAGGGCTGCCCTAGGAAGGGGCGCAGGGTATGCAGCCAGATGGCCCTGGGTACCCCATGCCCTTCCAGCCACACTCCTCTCCTCAGCACTTCCTATTGGCTACTTTAGGCTCCTCCCCACTCAGCCTGCTGGCTCTGGTGGGGCTCAGCCAGTGCCTGATGTGCCCATGGTTGTGGGCACCAAACGTGCGGTGGGGGCACTGGGGCGGGGGAGGGCCCTGGCAAGGCCGCTGCTGCCACACTCAGCATTGCAACAGCTAAATCCCCTAGGCCCAGGAGTCCTGGCTCCCCTCCGCCGCTCCCAGTGCCTGGGATAGATCCCAGGAGTCCTGGCTCCCCTCCGCCGCTCCCAGTGCCTGGGATAGATCCCAGGAGTCCTGGCTCCAAGTCCTGCCTTGCTCTACCCTCTAGACCCCACCCCCTCCCAGAGCTGGAGGTAGAAGCCAGGAGGCCTGGCTGTCTCCCCCTTTCTCGTCTTTGCTCTGCCCCCCACCCCCCATCACAGCAGCACAGGGACAATATATAGTGTTATTTACAGAGCTCTGGCTGGGGTAATGGGGCAGGGGGCATTGGTCGTGTCTGGGGGAGGGGGACAGAGGAATGCTCCATGCTGATTTTTCAGCAGCTACCTCCAACATGTGTGTCCCCCGCCCATCCCAACATGGGCACTAGCTACACAGGCACCCCTGAAGTCCCTATTGCCCCCAGGGGCAGTGGAGGGTGTGGGGATGGGGCACCTGTAGCTGAAACTGCTGGTTAGTGACCAGCAGGGGTGGCAAGGGTTAAAATTCACCAGCTGGTTGAGGCCTATTGGACTGTCAAGTCCTGTGTTACTCCCCCAGCCCAGAGTGGGCCTAGCTAGCCCCATAGCCTCCCTTCCCCCTGGAGCCGGCCCATGAGCCATCTAGCTTGGCATCCTGTCCCCTCCCATCAGCCCCATGGGCCCATCTAGCCTGGCATCTTGTTGCACTGGTTCAGGCCCAGGGGGTGCCCAGCAGCTAAGAATCCAGCCTATGAGCCACCTGGATGGGGGGCCTTGATCACAATTTTATTTTAAAAGCAAAATTAAAAACCAAGGACAAATTAGTTGGAGAAAAGTAAATAAAATTCCAACTTAACGGGGAAAAAGGCAAACAAAACCTCCCTTTGAATGACGGAACAGGATGGCCCCCCCCTTTGAACTGACCCCCTTAAACGGGAACTAAAACAAAGGGCAGTTGGGGTGGGGGCACCTGAATTTTCTATTTAATGTTTTTTAAAAAGGAAAGAAACAATGGAACGAAAACAAAGCAAAGTGTTTTCTCGGTACCGAGAAAAGTGACAGAATCAAAGCAACAGGGTATTATTGTGGGGGGAGGCTTAAAAGAGTAAATAAAATTAAACAATTAATGTGACTTTTAAAACTTTGAGACAAAATGACTCAGTAAATGAACCCGAACATTTAATGTAGGGGAGATGGAAAAAGATTTAAAGGCTAAAAAGGAAATGCCATCAAAGTAAGAAACATGAAATGAATGAAAAAGGTGGCAAACGGTTTTCTTTAATGACTCTGTGAAATGACTCAGCGGTTTAAAAGCAGAACCTGACTGAAAATTGAATTTTTTTAGTTAAGGAAAATTGTAAATGAATAAAAATTTGAAAAAGACACACCTGAAAGGGAAATGCTAACGATGAAAAAGCCACAGGACACTGGCTCTTAACCAGAAACCTTTGTAAAGAGGTGGGGAAAAAACAAGTCTCTGAAATCCATTTTTAAAAATGTAACGGGGAAATGGTTCTTAACCAACTCCAGAACCGATTTTAAAAGGCAGGTGGGCGGGCGGGGCGGGGGGTTGGCATCGAAATAGGTTTGAAAAGTCGGTCCCTGCTGCTGTCCCCACCTAGTGGGCATCACTGGCACAGCCTCCTCCTGCTCCGTTCCCCCTTGTCTGGGGTCTGTTCTGCACCCCCAGTGGCCATGGCCGGTGCTGCACCCCCATTGTCTGTGTCTCTTTCTGAGCCCCGGTGGCCACGGCTGGTGCTGTACCCCCCCATTGTCTGCGTCCCCAGTGACCAAGGCTGGTGCTGCTCCCCCACATTGTCTGAAGCCTGTTCTGTGCCCTCGGTGGCCGTGGCCGGTGCTGCACCCCCATTGTCTGCATCCCATTCTGTGCCACCCGGTGACTAAGGCTGGTGCTGCTCCCTCACATTGTCTGAAGCCCGTTCTGCCCCCCTCTGCCCCGGCGCGGGGCTCAGGCACTCAGGTCGATGGTGATGTGCCGGTAGATCTGCGTGTCTCCCTTGAAGCTGGCGGCGAAGACGAAGTCCCGCTGGTGGACGGCCAGGTGGGCAAAAGAGCGGGGCGCCTGGGTGTTCAGCTCCTGGAAGCGGACAAAGAGGCCCGAGCGGGCATCGTAGCGGTAAACCTGGCTGAAGGAGTAGTCGTTGCCCAGCACGGCATAGCGGTGGTTCCCAATGCCCAGCGGCTGGAAGACCATGGAGCCGCGCGATGGCATGTGCTGGACGTCCCGGAACATGGAGCCCTCCCAGCGCATCACCTGAAGAGGCAGAGAGGACTGTGGGTTATGCCAGAAATGCCAGCAGGGCAGAGAGGCTGGAGATTACAGTGGATGAGAAGCTTGACTGGGATGATTTAGTTGGGATTGGTCCTGCTTTGAGCAGGGGCTTGGACTAGATGACCTCCTGAGGTCCCTTCCAACCCTGATATTCTCTGATTCTATGGGTAATGCCAGACTGGAGGCAGAGGGCATCATGGGGGACAGAAAGCATGCTGAGAGAAGAGAATGATGGGAGTGGCTGAGTGGGAGCAAAGCAAGATGGGAGCATATTGGGGGCAGAGGCAAAGTCAAGAGTATGGTGGGAGAAGCTGAGCAGAGACAGAGAGCATTATGGGGTCAGAGCATTCCGGGAGCAGAGCATTCCGGGAGCACTGTTAGCAGGGTACACCAGGGGGGCACACTGCAGGTTTGCTGGATGCATGCAGGGCATGCTGGGAGCAGGGGGGTGCACACCAGGCACAGGGCACGCTGGGCACAGGGCACGCTGAGAACAGGAGGTGCACGCCAGGCACAGGGCACACCGGCACGGGGGGGGCACGCTAGGCGCTGGGCAGGCGGGGAACAGGGCACATTGGGGGCACACTGGGAACGGGAAGTGCACGCTGGGCGCAGGGCACGCTGGGGACACGCCAGGCGCTGACCTTGGAGTCACCAATGAAGCGGGTCAGGCATACGTAGACGTCCCCGCGCAGGCGGAAGTGCTTAACGGCGTAGACGTCGTCCATGTCGGGGATATCCGTGTGGCGCAGGAAGGCACGGCCGGGCCGGCTCCACTGGTAGACCACGGGGCGCTGGGAGCTGCTGGCCAGGATGAGGCTGGGCCGGCCGGCGAGCTCCAGGAACTCCACGTGGGTGTCGCGGTGCCAGGCATGCAGGGCCTGGTGGGCGTAGAAGCCGCGCCCACCCCAGCGGAAGAGCGTGGTGGCCCCCGCCTTGGAGCTGTCGGCCACGGCCAGGAACCAGTCGCCGTCCACCCGGAAACTGGCCAGGGCGTTGGGCTTGCGGATGCGCTGCGGGCCCAGCTCCTGCAGCCGCACGAAGCGCCCCGAGGCCCCCTCCTGGCGCCACACATGGGAACCCCCGGCCAGCTGTGCCAGCACCACCAGCAGCCGCCCCTCCACCACCAGCGGCTTGCAGGCCACGGGCGACGAGCCTGTGGGGGCAGGGGTCAGGGGGGGCTGCCCAAGGGGGCAGGGATCGGGGGGTTGCCCCAGGGGGCAGGGGGGCTGCCCAAGGGAGACAGGGATCGGGGGGCTACCCAAGGGGGCAGGGATCGGGGGGCTGCCCAAGGGGGGCAGAGGTTAGAAAGAGGGAGGAAGGGAGAGGGGTTCAGGAAGGCTGCACAGGGGGAGGGTTTTGGGGGGAAGGCTGTCCCTGGGGTGGGGAGATGGGTTAAGGGGGTCAAGGGATCTGCCTGGTGGGAAGAAAAGGGGCAGCTGAAGGTAGGGGTGCCGGGGGGGTGGGTGATCTCATGGAGGGGAGGGGGCTGCTCCGGGGTACCCCTGGGGCAGGGCTCAGGGGGGCTGTGAGGGTATCCCTGCAGGTGGGGTGCAGGGGGCACTGGCGGACATGGTGGGGAGGTGGTGCACAAGGGGACTCGGGGGTAGCCGGGGGGGCTGGGGCCCTCGCTCACCGTTGATGGAGGCGTAGGCCCGGAAGGCCCCGTCCAGGTGGTCCCACTCAAGCAGGCTGCAGCGCCCTGCGAAGGGCTGGGTGATGGCCACGTGCTGCTCCCCCCGGTACCAGAACGGCTCCACCGCCAGTGCCTGGAAGGGCAGCGACTGGAACAGTACCAGCGCTGGTGGGGGTGGAGGTTAGACCAGGGCTGGGGAGCAGCTGGGCGCCTGGGTTCATCCCCAGCTCTGCGCTCACTTCTGCTTCCTGTGCCAGCCTTGAGACAATAGAACCCAGGAGTCCTGGCTCCCAGCCCCCTGCACTGGACCTCCCTCCCCTCCTGGGTCTGGAGATAGAACCCAGGAGTCCTGAGGCTTCTCACACAGCCAGCTCTGGAGCAGTTTGTGTCTCACCAGGAATTGGGTTGAGATGCAGCGAGGGCAATGAGCTAAGAAGCATTTTCCCTTCCAATGGGTTCACCCGGGGCTGAGATGCAGCCACCTCTGGGGCGGGGCAGCTGGGGAACAGCCGCACATAACGCCGCATGGGGCCGGCTACCCGAGGCTGGGTGCAGCTGGCTCAGGGGTTCCGTACCGGTGGTAATGCAGTCAAAGTCCTGAAGGTGCAGCTGGCTCAGCCGGGTGCCGTTGAGCTCGGCCGGGCCCTGGCACTCGCCCAGCTCAGCGCTGGCATTGGTGCTGCTCAGCCACTCCACCAGCCACTTGATCCGGCAGTCGCAGTGGAAGGGGTTCCCCCGCAGGTCCCTGGTGGGAGAATCGCCCCGCGTGGGGCCGGGGGACATGGGGCAGGGGGGCCGGAGCCAGGCAGCAAGGCCCTCCTCTGCCCCTCCCCCCCACTGCTGCCCCGTCCTCACCCTTCATTTCTTCCTCCTCCTCTTTTCTGCCCATCTCTACCCCCCACCGCTCCTCCGCATCCCCTCCCCCACGCCTGCCCCCCAGTCCCGCCTCTGCCCCCCACTCACACGTGGGTGAGGGCATCCAGGCCCCGGAACAGGTGGCGTGGCAGCGTCTGCAGCTGGTTGTGTGCCAGGCTCCTGGACGGGGGGAGACGTCAGATGGGGAGGGCCCTTCGACACCGGTGCCCTTCCCCTCTGGGGGGTGTTTGCTCCCATCTGGCCACAGGGCGGGGGGCAGGGTCCCGTGGGGACAGAGGGGTCCCAGTGTGTGTGTGGGGGATGGGGTGGGGGTTCCACTGGTACGGGCTGTCCGCGGGTCGGGGGGGAGTGTGGGGATAGGTTCCCTTGGGGGTTGCCCCATTGGGGAACTCATTTTAGGGGTGACAGGAGTGTCAGGGGGAGGGGTCCCCTTGGGGGGTGTCACATCAGGCTGATGTTGAGGTCCCTGGGAGGGTGTTAGTGCCAAGGAACCTCTGGTGTCAGGGATCGCAGGGGGATATCAGGGCTGGGTGTCAGGGGGTTCTTGGGGGGTCTGTCAGTGTTGGGGTGGGGGGTGTTGGGGGGCCAAGGGGGTCAGTCACAGGGGTCCCTGGGGTCTGGTATTAGAGTGCTGGGGGGTCATCGTGGTCTGTCGGTGCTGGGGAGCTGGTGAGGTCCCCAGAGTCCATCGGTTTTCGGGGGCCAGGGGGGTCACTGGGGTCTGTTGGTGCTGGGGGGCCAGAGGCCATGCGGGGGGGGGTGTCACTCACAGATGCACAAGCCCCTTGAGGCCCCGCAGTGCGTTCTTGGAAATGGAGCCGACTTTGTTGTTCTCGATGAACCTGCAAGGGGGGGGGCTCTGTCAGTGGGTCACGCCCTGTGTGCCCCCTGCTTCCCGCCCCCACAAAGTCCCCTGTGCAGACTCCCCCTTGCACCCCCACCCCCTCGCACACTCACAGATACTCCAGGTGCAGGAGTCCCACGAAGGCATCGTCCCTGATCAGCCCCAGGGTGCTGGATGTGAACAGGCTGGGGAGAGAGGGGGAGTCAGTGCCTGCCCGGACCCTGAACCCTTGACCTCCCTCAATCCCAGTCCACAGCCTCCGCTCCCCCCAGACAGCCTTGTCCTGGCTCCAGAAGGGGAGTGGGGCCTTATGGTTAGAGTGGGCGGGGACTGGGAGCCAGGACTCCTGGGTTCCCTTGCTTGCTCTGCCACAGACCTGCTGGGTAAATCTGGGCAAGTCATTTCCCTGCTCCGTGCCTTAGTTTCCCCTTGCCCCCTGTGTCTGTGTAGATGGTGAGCTCTGTGGGGCAGGGCCCATCCCTCACTGTGCCTGGGCGGCACCCGGCTCGGGGCTGTGAGCATTCCTGGGCTAACGGTGAGCACCTGCCCCCCACAAGACTGCCCCCTCAGCTGCCCCCTCTGAGCAGCACACATCCATTTGCACATGCACCTTCCCATATGCACTGGCTGACACACACCCATTTGCACACTCACCTCCCCGTACACACTGGCCAGCACACACCCATTTTCATGCTCTCCCTGCCCCCATGGGCTACCATGCACAGACATGGCTCCCCCTTGCACACTAGAGAGTTGGGGGCATTGGTCTCCTTACAGCAGCTGCAGGGATGGCGTCTGCAGGAAACTTCCCTCTTGGAGCTCAGTGAATCCGGATCGCACCAGGGACCTGGGGAGGGGAGACGGGGTGTGAGGGGGCTACGGGTCAGAACTGGCACCAGCACCGGTGCTGCACCCATCACCAGGACTCCCACAGAGAGGGCACAGCACCACGGGCAGCTTCAGAGCCAGGAGAGGAACCAAGTCCAGAACCAGCACCAACATCAGACCAGCACCAGCAGTCCAGAACCAGACCAGAACCAGCACCATCAGACCAGCACCACCAATCCAGAACCAGCACCATCAGATCAACATCAGACCAGAACCAGCACCATCAGACCAGAACCAGCACCATCAGACCAGCACCAGACCAGAACCAGCACCATCAGACCAGAACCAGACCAGAACCAGCACCATCAGACCAGAACCAGCACCATCAGACCAATATCAGACCAGCCCCAGCAGTCCAGAACCAGACCAGAACCAGCACCATCAGACCAGGACCACCAGTCCAGAACCGGCACCACCTTCTGATCACAACCAGCACCGCCATCAGGAACAGAACCAGCACTAATATGAGACCAAAACCGACTTCAAACCAGTCCCAATAGCAAACCCAAAGCTGAACCAGAGCCAACACAGAACCAGAACTGACCATAAACCAGAACCAGCACCAGCCTCCTGCCAAGACCCAGGTTCAACAGCACCATTGAGAGAGGCAGCCTGGAGGCCCGAGCTAAAACCAGCTGGGAGGACGATGTTAATCAGGAAAAGGAGGCTGATAATTGGACTCATTTCAGAGCCCCGGAGAGACCCCGAAGCGCTGGCAGTCACTGGGTGGAGGAAGGCCGTGCTGGTTCCAAAACCAACCCGCTTTAGAGGGGCCGTGAGGGCGGTTCTACAACCTATACAGCGCCTGGATGGGAGGAAGGGGAGTGGTGAGTATCAGTGGGGGGTGGGTTTATGTTTCCCTCCACATTGTTGGTGATAATGTGGAAGAGCATAATTTATCTTTCTCCGTGGCCCAAGGGGCTCCTGGGACACATAAACAGAGGAGTCTCGAGTAGGGGCAGAGAGGTTCCTCGGCCCTGGTGTGTATACAGCTGGACTCCTGTGTCCAGTTCAGGAAGGAGGCGGATAAATTGCAGAGGAGCCAGAGAAGAACCAGGAGGAGGATTATAAGACCAGAAAAGTCCAGGAGCTCCATCGCTGTAGCTGAGCACAGCGCAGGTCCAGGGGTGACGTGATCCTGGCTAGAACAGAGCGTTAGTCCAGCAGAGGAAAGTCTAACATGATCCAAAGGCTGGGAGTCAAAATTAGACAATTTCAGACTAGAAACAAGATGTAAATTGTTACTGGCGAGAGCATTAACCATGGGAGCAATTAGCCAAGGGTTGGGGATGCTCCCTCACTGGCAATGTTTAAGCCATGGTTGGACATTGTCGAACAGCTCTGCTCTAGGGATGACTTGGGCCCTTCTCCGACTTGGGAGTCCCACGAGATGCGCACAATAGTCCCTCCTGCCTTGGAACCTGGGACTCAAGCCAGAACCAGGCGCCCCCTGGCACTGAGCCAGCACCTCTATCACAGCACGACTGGTACCACTGCCAGAACCAGCCCCAGAGCCTTCCCAAGGGGACACCGGGAGCAAGGCCGCCAGCACCATCCAACCCAAACCAGCCCCCGCGCAACGCCCACCCCGGGTGCAGAGCTGTAGTGGAGCTGGTGAATGGCCCAGCACCAGAACCAGCACCTTAACCAGAACAGCCAGCAACCTCCGACCAGCACCAGCATCAGAACCAGCCCCAAATCAGAGCTGCTCCCAGAACCAGAACCAGCCCCAAATCAGAGCTACTCCCAGAACCAGAACCAGCCCCAAATCAGAGCTGCTCCCAGCACCAGAACCAGAACCAGCCCCAAATCAGAGCTACTCCCAGAACCAGAACCAGCCCCAAATCAGAGCTGCTCCCAGCACCAGAACCAGAACCAGCCCCAAATCAGAGCTACTCCCAGAACCAGAACCAGCCCCAAATCAGAGCTGCTCCCAGCACCAGAACCAGAACCAGCCCCAAATCAGAGCTGCTCCCAGCACCAGAACCAGCACCAATATCAAATGAGGACCAGAACCAATGCCAGAATCAGCATCAATGTCAAACCAGAACTAGCACAAAGATCCAAGTGGCACAAAGACCAGCGGTGACACTGAACCAGTACCAGAACCAGTGCCAGAATCAGGTTCTCAGCAGGCCCCCTACCAGGGCTGACACCAGTGTCCCACCAGACACAACGCAGTCACCCACCCCAGCCGGCAAATAGACCAGAACCAGCCACAGCAACAGAACTGGCACCAGTGACCGATAAACCCAGCACCATTGAATCAGAACCAGAATCAAATTACAGCTCCAGCTTCCAGTAACAAGGGATTGTGTGACAGGGCAGGGTCGTGAGGAGGGGGGTGCAGGGGTGGCAGAGGGCTGCTGGGGGATCTTACAGGGAGGTGATGTCGGGGGGCAGTCCTTGGGGGACCCCGTCTGTCCTGTCACACAGTGCGTTGTCCTGGGTGCAGCTGCAGCCGATGGGGCATTTCCGCCGGGGGGCCCGGCGCCGCTCACCCCCCCCAGCTGCCAGCAGCAGTAGCATGAGGAGGGGGGCACAGGCCCATGGTCCCCCCCAGCCCATTGTCTGGCCCAGGGGCCCTGGGCTGCTCCCCCCTATACAACCCTGGGACCCCCTCCACGCTGGGGTCCTTCTACCTATCCCTGAATTCCTGATTCTTGCTATGCAGCTCTCTGCCACCCCTGTATCTCTCCCCCTAGCCACCCCTGTATCTACCCCTCTATCCACCCCTGTATCTCTCCGTCCACCCTGTATCTCTCCCCCTAGTCACCCCTGTATCTACCCCTCTATCCACCCCTGTATCTCTCCGTCCACCCTGTATCTCTCCCCCTAGTCACCCCTGTATCTACCCCTCTATCCACCCCTGTATCTCTCCATCCACCCCTGTATCTACCCCTCTATCCACCCCTGTATCTACCCCTCTATCCACCCCTGTATCTCTCCCCCTAGTCACCCCTATATCTACCCCTCTATCCACCCCTGTATCTCTCCGTCCACCCTGTATCTCTCCCCCTAGTCACCCCTGTATCTACCCCTCTATCCACCCTTGTATCTCTCCGTCCACCCTGTATCTCTCCCCCTAGTCACCCCTGTATCTCTCCATCCACCCCTGTATCTACCCCTCTATCCACCCCTGTATCTACCCTGTATCTGTCCCTTTATTTTTCTGTCTAACCCTGTGTCTCTCCATCCATCCCCGGTTCTGTCCCGCTGTCCCCCTGCGATCTCGGTCAGTCCGCTTGTCGGTGCTCCCCCGTCCCGCTGTTCTTGTGGCCGTCCCTTCCTCTGTGAGTGGCAGTGATGCCAGCCAATCGCGAGCCGGAGATGGGGAACCTTGGGGAGGGGGGTGTTGACCAGGGGCGGAGCCATAAGGAAAGAAAAGGAGGGGGGCAGCTCAGCCCAGGGGCTGGGAGAAGGGGTCGGACACCCGGACTCCTGGGTTCTACCTCAGCCCTGGGGGGCACTGGGGTCTGGTGGTTAGACTGGGGGAGCGCTGAGAGCCAGGACTCCTGGGTTCTGTCCTGGCCGTGGGAGGGCTCAGCAGCTGCCTGGGCCATTCCCTGTTTGTGCCAAAAAGTGAAGCTCTGTGTGTCATGGAAGCAAACCATGTGGCTGGAGTGAGGGGGTGGGGGTCACCCTGGGGTGACGGGAGGGCGGGGGCAGCAGGGTTATATAATTTTTGGTGGTGCCCAGAACAGGTCCAAGTCCTGCCCCCCCCCACCTGCCTAAGGCTCTGGGAGGGAGTTTGGGTGTGGGGTGCAGGCCCTGGGCGGGGGCAGGGAGTTGGGGTGCAGGAGGGGGTGCGGGCTCTGGCAGGGAGTATGGGTGCTGGGTGTGGGCTCTGTGCTGGGGCAGGGGTTGGGGTGCAGGAGGGAATGCAGGGGGCGGGCTCTGGGAGAGAGTTGGGGTGCAAGAGGGGGGTGGGCTCTGGGAGGGAGGGGAAGGAGTTGGGGTGCAGGGTGCAGGTTCTGGGAGGGAGTGTGGGTGCTGGGTGTGGGCTCTGGGCTGGGGCAGGGGGTTGGGGTACAGGAGGGGGTGAGGGGTGCAGCACATACCTCAGGCGGCTCCCAAAAGCAACCCGCACACCCCTACGGCAGTGGCTCCTACCTGGGGGGCCGGGAGGTCTCTGCATGTCGCTGGCTGCAGGGATCACCTCCGCTTCTCCCAGTGGCCGCAGTTCCAATGGCGGACACGGCACTCAGGGCAGGGGCATGCATGGAGACACAGGGGCCGCAGGGACGTGCCAACTGCTTCTGGGAGTGGCGTGCCGTGCGAATCAAGGGCAGGCAGGAAGTTGCTTTAGGCCCGCTGCACGTCTGGTGATGGCGGCAGGGGCCCCCAGTCCCTTTAAAATCATCTGGGGCAGCAGGCAGGGCTGGGGAGATACCCGGCCCTGAACATTGGTGGAGCCAAGCTGCCGGGCCTTGAATATTCCTGGAGCCCGGGCACCACGGGCCCATATAACTCACCACCCCTGCTGGGGGGAGTTAGGTGGTGAGGCAACTTGGCCCCACCTCCCCCCACCAACTGACCATGTACCCCACCCAGCATCACCAAGCTCCACTTACAGAAGCAGGCCCCACCCACAACCCCAGGTCACCGCCATTACAAAGAGCTAACAGGTGGTGTCAGTAGGGTTCAGAGTGAACATCCATGTGCTCCATGACCAGTAAGGGCTGGGACTGCATGACCGCATCCTACACCTGCTGTTAACCCTCTGCTAGCCGCAGAGCAGGATAATGATCTGCCATTGCCGCCAGTTACCAGAGTTACCCTGTACTCCCGGGACCAGAGGACACCACCCCACTCCCAGAGCCTGGGAGAGAAACCAGGAATCCTGACTCCCAGCCTCCCCTGCTTTGATCCCTGGAATTGCCCCGGACACAAAGAAAGCCTCATAGATGGCGGGAACTGGGGGGATGCAGGATCGTCGCAACTCCTACTGTAGACAGGGCCCGTGTCTGTCTGCCCAGAGAGGGCAGGGCTTATGGCTAGTTAACCTCCCCTGCCCACATCCCATCCCTCTGCTCCAGGCAGGAAATGGGACATGGGCCTTTCCCCTCTAGGGGGCACCAGCTTTAGGAGGGCAATTGGGGCTTGTTGTTAGAGCGGGGAGTGGTACTGGGAGCCAGGACTTCTGGGTTCTATCCCTGGCTCTGGGAAGAGAGTGCGGTCTAGTGTTTGGTGGGGGGCTGGGAGTCAGGACTCCTGGGTTCTTTCCCCGACTCTGCCTTCCCCCTCCCAGGCTGGTTCCTAATCTTCCTGCTATCCCAGCTGTGCCCCCTCACCCAGAAATGCCTGCTCAGATGCTCAGCACCAGGGGTGGATTGTGGGGGCCGGGGGACAATGGGCCCAGCTGTCTGGCTGCCCGCCAGTCCCTGGGAGTGGGATCCCAGCCCGGAGCTGGCATTTCCCCTCACACAGGGGCCTTTGTCCTGTGATGGGGGGTGGGAATCTGGGTGGTGGAAACTCTCCCTGCAGGGAGATGCCGGGGGCACTGGGGGGTGAGGGGGAAGGAGGCTGCAGCTGGGCAGAGGGCTTGGAGGTGTGAGTGTGGCTGGGGGGGATGGGCCCTGACAATGGGATCCGCAGCTGGAATGAGGCTAGAACAGAGAGAGAGAGAGAGAGAGAAGAGAGTGTGTCCCTGCTGCCCCCTGCTGGAGGGGACAAGCCCTGCTGGAGGGAGGGCGGGGGAGGTGGCACCCTGTGCTTTCTTCCCGAGTGAGAATTGTGATCAGGAACCAAGAGTCCTGACTCCCAGCCCCCCTGCTGTAACCACTAGACCCCACTCCCCTCCCAGAGTCTGAGCTCACTTGTAACTTGGCTGTGCTACACTAGTCAGTGACTGTGGATGTGTGTGAAGGAATGGCAGAAATCTTGTTAGGTTTAATGACCACCTGACTCCTCTTCTTCCTGCTCAGGATCCCAAAGTGCCAGGACATTAACATTATAACATCATCCCGCTCCCTGCCCCGCCCCACCCTGCCCCAGAAACACGACCTCTCCCCTCTTTGGAATCTGCTGGATTTTGTGCTTTGCGTGGATTTATGATTCCACATACGCAGCCACCTCTGGAGCAGGGCAGCTGGGGAAAAGACGCACATCACACTGCATGGGGATGGCTTGTCCGCCCTGAGATGCAGCCACCTCTGAGTCGGGGCAGCTGGGGAACAGCCATTTAGGACAGGAAGTCCTAACCAACCTGTGTCAACCAGGAGCTAGAAGAGAGGCAGTCTGAACTGGGCTCTGGCCCAGACACTGGGGTTCACACTCCAGCTTGGCCTATCAAACTGCCTTCATGCCTTGGGATCTTTACTGGCCACGAAGCGGCAGGTTTCAGCGTCTGTCCCAGCCCTGCAGGGGGGTGCGTGGAATAGGAGGGACGATCCTGGCCAGTGGCCACCCACAGTTCAATTCCACATGGGGGCAGCAGTGGGACCCAGAGAGAGGGAGCTGCCCTGCAGCAGCCCCTTCTTCCCCCAGGGCCCGCCCCAGCCCTCTGCCCCAGTTTAATGACCCCCAGCTCCCCCCTGGCCAACCTGCAACCAGGAAACAGAATCCACCCAGCCAGGCTATACACAGGGACACGTCACCCCGACACCCAGTCACACCCGGATACACTGTCACCCCAACAGCTACACCAATACCCCGACAATCAGACACACTATCACCCTGACAGCCACACTGACACCCTGACAGCCATAGCAATACCCTGACACACTGACATGCTGTCAC